GGGAGTTTTTCCTCAAACCTACCGGCCCAACCTTGTCGGGTGCGCGGGACAGGTCAGAGGCCCCGCGTCGCATCCCAACGGGGCGTCTCCCGCGCGCTGCTTGCGTACGGGCGCACCTCGGAGTCGCGACCAGCGCTGTGGACACCCGTTTGGGCCAGAGCCCAATACTCGGTGGTTTAAAGATGGGGTCCTGACGGATGGGGGCCCAGGGATAGAAGGGATCCAAGGGTGGATGCACGTTGTTTAAAGCACCTTGTCCTTAGGACCCATCCTTCAGAACCCCATCTTTGAACCACCGACATACGACGCGTCAGGCAAGGATTTCGGTCCTCCTCGGCCAGGAAGGAAGCGGGCATGCACTTTGCAAGGCGATGCGCTAAGCGCCTGGCAGCGGATGGCAGATGCAAGTCTCGTGATTAGGCCCTTGCCTTAAATCGGGCATGTCTGTCTACAGGAGGAATTTTCAATAATAGTCAAATGTCATAGTCTGGGGGCGCTTGTTTTGTCGTGCTCTTTTGATTATTTTGTTGAAGACGTACGGTTTGCATGACACTTGCATCTGTTTGTTCCAACATCCACCTGTAGGGTTAACCCGGGCATGTCCCTCCACAGGAGAAATACTGTACTCCAGTCAAAGCATTTTCTGGGGACTAAGTTTTATGTGCTTGATGAGCGTGTTGGACTATTGTTTGAGTGCTTGTTTTATTTTGCCTCCAAAATCTACCTGTAGGGGGACATGCCCGACCTAACTGCAGGAGGACATGCCCGGCGTAGTGCAAGTCTCTGGATTGTGCCCTTGCCCGCCGCGGCCCTCCTGCGTTCCCCCTGCCGGGGCCTCTGGAGAGCACCGCAGGTCTTCCAGCCGAGAACCTGAGGAGGAGGAGGAGGAGGTGGGGAGGAGGAGGAGGAGGAGGAGGAGGTCTAGTGGAAACCCAAGAGTCATCAACGAGGTTGGAATTAACCCTCCCTCCAAGCTCCCTCTGCAGAGGCCCCTACAACGGTTCATTTCCATTGAGGGAATTGCCTCGTTAGAAGACAAAAGTTTGAAGATCCTGAAGCGTGCCAAAACAGTGTTCTCGGGATTTCAACGCCACGTATCAATCTGACTGCTGCGTCTTGACGATCCAGAATCGGGCCAGAACCTTTTTTTCTGGATTTCAACAGAGCAAATTCACATACCTACTGCGCCCGCGTAATCCTGAACCCTTCCAGAACATTATTTCTGGTACGTTGATCATGGGAATCCATGAAACTCTCGCAAAGTTAAAAGACGGTTGTACGCGGCGCTAAGACGAGAGCCACATTTTAAAAGGAACCGCCCTCAATCCGTGAAGCTCTTGCAAATCTTTAAAACGAGTGCACGCGGCGCTAAGGCGAGAGCCACATTTTGAAAATCACCCGCCCTCAATCCGTGAAGCTCTTGCAAAGTTTGAAGACGAACGTGCGCGGTGCTAAGGCGAGAGCCACATTTTGAAAACGACCCGCCCTCAAACCGTGAAGCTCTTGATTTGCTTTCTAGAACTAATAACGACTGTGCGTGGCGCCAAGGCGAGAGCCACTTTTTGAAAACGACCGGCCCTCAACCCGTGATGCTCGTGCGCGAGAGCTGCATTTTGAAAACCACCCGCCGTCAATCCGTGAAGCTTTTTCAAATGTTTAAAGCGAGTGTGCGCGGCGCTGAGGCGAGAGCCACATTTTGCAAACGGCCCGCCCTCAATCCGCGAAGCTGCTGCCACCTTTTAAGCTTCAGAGTCATGGGTGGTGAGGAAATCTCAGGCGAAATGCCAGACCCGCGCTAAAACTGGCCTCGGGGTGCGACAGGGAGGAGTTATCTATAAGGAGAAGGAATGGAGGGGCAAGGAGGAGGACCCAGACCTCCTTGCGTTGAAAAAAACGGCGAAAGGTTTTTTTTCTAGTATTTTTGACTTAAGGGGCATTTACCGGGCCTCAGGGCCGTCAAAAAAAGACTCAGGATGAAAAAGCAGTCTCGGGGAAGGAGTCCAGATCTCTGTGGGTCGACGTTGTGAGGACATCACGACGTCGGGGGAAAAGAGCCAGGGGGAGGGGGAGACAAGTTGGGGGGGAAGGGCGGGCTGATACTCGCTCCACCCCCCTCTCTTTCGCTCCTTGTGTTCCTCGTCCACCTCTCCTCTTTTCCCTCTGTTCCCCTCCCCTTCTTTTTCCCCTTCCCGCTACCCTTTTGCAGAAGTCCTCCCCGCCCTCCTCGCTTTTCTTTCCCAGCCTGTGCCTTCCCACCCAATCACCTCATCCTGTCCCCGCTCCCCCCCTCCCTCTCTCCACTCCATCCTTCTCGCCCTTCCCTTTCGCAGCGCTCTTCCCCCCGACCCCCTCCATCTCCCCATCTCCCCTACCTCTCTCCCTCTATCTCTCCCTCCCTCCATCTTTCCCCCCACAGCCTCACCCCCCCCCTGCCCGTCAAGCTTCCCCCCCAACCCCTTCGGGATGCCACCCCGCTTCCCGCCGCACCGCCCTTCCTCTCAGCCTTCCTTCCTTCTGCGTCCTCCATGTCACCCTTTCAGCCCCCTCTCCCCTGTAAGCCCCTCCCCTCCCCGTCCGGGCGCTGCCTCACTCCTCATCTGCTCATACGCCGTCGTCCCCCATTTCCCTCCCCCTGCCCTCGCGATGTCTACTCCCTATCCCCTGCCGCCTGCTCTGGATCCCCTGCTTTATCTTTCTCCCTGCCCAACTGCCATCCCCTCACTGTTCTTGGGATATCTTGCCCACCCGCTCCAGGAAGACGAGAATAAGGAGGAGACGAAGGTCTGATGGTGATGGTGTTGATGGTGGTGGTGATGGTTATGGTAACTCATGGTTACGATATGGCGATGGTTATGATACTAATGATGAGGAGGAGGATGAGGAGGAGGAGGAGGAGGACGAGGAGGACTAGGAGAAGGAGTGCGAGAGGGGATGAGGTGCCAGGAGGAGGATCAAGAAGATCAGGACGGAGGACGGAGAAGCAGCGATGACATAATCTTTCTCGTCGTGTTCTTCAAGCGTCACTAAGTCAAGCCAGGTACAGTGATGAGGTCACTCACTACGCGGAAGTCAGGTGGCGCTGCTTTTGACAGCATGAGTGTGCCAGCATAGCTACGGGCCCGCTGCGCCATCTGATATGGTTCGACCTCCTCCTCCTCCTCAGCCACCTGAGCCTTGGCAACATCCTCAACCTCCTTCGCCTTTTCCTCGTATCCCACACGTCTCTCCGCATCGTCATCCTCATGCTCCTGTTCCTCATCCTCCATCCGCTTCTTGTCCTCCCCCTCGGGTTCTTGTCTTGTTTGTGCGCGCTTGCACTGCGCTCGCCACTCGTGCACATCTATGCCCTCACCGCACCATCATCCATGCTCATGCGACCCCTTGTTGCTCTTGCTCCTCATCCGCATTCCCTGCCCTCCCCTCCTACTTGAATACGTCCTCCTGCTGCTCCTCATCTCCTTCCCCTGGCCTGTTCCTCTCCATCTGCCCTCTCCCCACCCCCTCTTACCCCCCATGTTCCATATCCACCTCCTTCTCTTCACTCCCTGCTTTGACATGCACTTCACCACCATACTCGCCCACCTGTCTTTCCTCATCATCCTCCCCCGTTTCATCCATCCCCCGTGCACCCCTTCCTCCTTGCCTCCCCCCCTGAGTTCAGGAGTCTCCATCTCTGCCTCCCACTCCTCTGCGCCGCAGACTGCCTCCACAAGAGCCGGTGCAGAACACCAGCCATCGGATTGCCTTTGTCCCGGGAAGCCCCTGAAGTGTGCTGTGCGTCTCGAGTCGCCGCCCGCTAGGGGCTCGATGGAGTCGACGGTGGCTGCAGGATCGATGATAGGACCCCCCCCCAGCCGAAGTCACACTCCCTACACGCAGCTCCAGAGACTCCGAGACGCCTCCTGGTGCCGAGACTGCGGGGACTTGTGCGAACATTTCGTTCCAGAAACTCATCGAGGACCTGCACTTAAACGCAGTCAGCGAGCGTGGCCGACGTTTTTGGCTGTTTTGTGCCCTCTTGGGCTGTTTTGGTGCCCTCTTGGAGGCCTCTTGGGCTGTCTTGGGGCGATCTTGTGGGCCTCTTGGACCGTCTTCGAGCGGCGGGAAGCGGAAAAGGCGAGAACGCCCATTTGTTTGTTTGATTCCTTTCGGAATTAGTAAGTAAGAGAAGACAAGAGGTCAATCCATTACTTTTACCTTTGGGGGCCCTCTCGGGAGTATTCTGGGAGGCGTCTTGGGGCGTCTTTGAGGCCTCTTAGGCAGTGGAGGGCGTGAAGGCGTTTGAACCGATCGTTTGGCGATTGGGGGCCCTCTTGGACCGTCTCGGGGGTCTCTTGGGGCACTCTTGGCCTGTCTTGGTACTTTCTGAGGCTCCGGGACCACCAGGGGGCGATGCGTAGCTGACTCTCCCCTCTCAGGCAATCGCAAACATGGATCAAGGGGGCGTGGACTAGCGTCGGGTCCCGCTTCCGTGGGAAGTCACGGCTTTCCGCCGCCGGACGAGGCGGCATCGGCCGCATTTCGGGGAGGGCACCTCCCCCGATCCACGGATTAGTCGATAGCGCGCCAAATCCATGGATCGCTAGTCTATATTTGCACGCCCCCGACTCTCCCAGGGACCCCCACCCCCCGGCGGGGGGGGGTCTGAAAGGGAAGGGGCGTCCCCTTGACTTCGATTTCGACGTTGCTAGATATTTTTCTCTCGCCGACAGGTTTGATGAGGAGGGCACATGGAAAAGAGGACGACGGAGGCAACGACCGACGGAGACGACGACTCGAACAGACAAGCCCCCCCCAAAAAACATGCCGACAGGGTCGGCGCGGACTTTTTGGGAGTGGCTCTGCCTCTGGCCGAGAGAGAGAGAGAGAGAAAGAGAGAGAGAGAGAGAGAAAAAGACAGAAGGAGAAGGAGAAGGAGAAGGGACGATAGAAAGGTAGAGAGAGAGAGAGAGATAGACAAAGAAAGAGGGAGTGGCGAGGCCAGCCACAGTGCCCCGCAGGTGGCCACGAGCTCTGGCGGATGTCCGAGAAGGCAGCCCGTCCGACTGGGAGGAAGGGACGAGATGGAGGCGAGGGAGGGAGGCGGGACGGGGGCAGGCAGCAGACAGGTCCGCTCGGCGACCGGCAGCACCGAGCCCAGTCAAAGGCCCAGGGCCGCACCGGAGCACGGCGTCGAGCCGACGCGGTCCACCTTGCACAGAGCGGCAGCGGCACGCCGTGGGGCGGTGGTGCAGCCTGCCCCCCCCCCCAAAGGGGAAACGGGGGGGCGGCAGCGACGAGGGAGGGCTCGGATCCGGGAGTGCGGCCCGCGCCGTGGCGGGGGCGCCACCCTGAACGGCGGGAGCAGAGAGCGCCGGTGCCGGAACGAGGCCAGCGGCCAACTCCTTGCAGCGGAAACACTCTTCGGAGGGCCCAAGACCGGCCCGACTCTGGAACCCTGACAATCGGATGCGTCGAAACTGTCGGAGGAGAGCAGAGAGTAAGGAGTTCTTCGGGTTGGGCGAGCGAGGGAGGGCAGAGACAGGAGAAGGAGGAGGGAGGGAGGGATCGAGAGGGAGAAACAGGAAGGACCCGGAGCGAGGGAGGGGGAGCCAGGGCGGGGGAGCAGAGGCAGGAGAAGGCAGAGGGAGAGAGGGTGGAGGGAGGGAGGGAGGAGGGAGGGGGGAACGGGAGGAGGGAACGGGAACGCGGGCGGAGGACGAGGCGGGGCATAGTTATTTGAGATAGGGGGAGGATCTGGAGGGGGACGGTGGGGGATTACGATGACGTGATTGAGAGGGGCAGGGTGAGGAATAGCACTGGGGGGAGGGGGGGAAGGAGGCGTGATGATGAGGATCGAGAGGATGAGGAATCGCTGGCTGGTCATGAGGAGGGCCAGGATGAGCAGGAGGGAGGGCGTGGGGAGGGCGGGCCCAGGCAGGGCGTATGGTTTGGGCAGATGCAGCCGCCCTGATTTACATCCGTGCGATGGGTTGTTCCTGTCTTGGGTCTTGGCGTGCTCGCTCGGGACTCGGAGATGGAAGTGCGTCGGTGTTGCACCTCCGTCTCTGGAACGCGATCACTCATGGACGGGCTCCTTCCGGCAGGGGCCTTCACACAGGATGTTCAGGTTGCTTGGCCCAGGTCGCAGGCAAGATTTGAATGTGCATCCGCAACGACAGGGATACACATGCAATTCCGCACCAAGACAGTCAACTTGTAAAGCCGCCACACAAGAAATCAACGTGTGAACCAGCCACAGCCGAGACACGTGCAGACGGGGCACACTTAACATCACATTTAAAATCCGCCACAAGAGAGATCACAGTGTAGACCGACCACGCTCAACATCAAAGTGGTGATGTTGTCACTTCCAGGATCAGCTTGGCGTTGCAACATCAAATCTCACTCTCTCTCTCTCGCTCTCTGTCTCTCACTGTCTCTCTCTCTCTCTCTCGTTCTCTTTCTCTTTCTCTCTCTCTCTCTCTCTCTCTCTCCTTCTCTCTCTCTCTCTCTCTCTCTCCCCCCGCGCCCATCCCCCACCCCTCTACCCCACCCTCCGTTCCCGCTCTCCTCTTGCTCCTGCTCGTCTCTCCTCCTGCCCCCCACCCACTTCGCAGTCCATCTCTTTCCCTCTGTCCCTTGCCCTTCTCCTCTTCCCCCCCCGCTCTCTCGCTGCGTGCACACTGACGCCCGCCAGATGAAGAGAGTGCGAAGGCAGCCCCCCCTCCCAACTGCCGACGCGGCTCTTCGTGCTGGAAGTCCGCGGCGGAATGGCAGGGAATCAGACAGGAGGGGAACGAGGAACGAGCATAAGGGCGAGGAGGACGACGTGGAGGAAGACACATAGGAATAGTAAGAGTCACCAAAAGAGCTTGCCGATGAGGAGGAGGAAGAGGAGGCCGCGTGGAAAGCGCATCATCACAGCGCCCTTTCCCTTTTTCCTCCTCCTCCTCCTCCTCCTCCTTCTCCCTTTCTTCCTTTCCTCTTCCTTCTCCTCCTCCTCCTCCTCCTTCTCCCTTTTCCTCTTCCTTCTCCTCTCACTCAGCCTGCTGGGTCACTGCATCTGAGTTTCCGCATTATCTGACCTGCGGCGGGCGCAGAGGTGGGGGAGGCAGACATCCGTTACGCCTCGCGCGCTCGCTCTCTCTCTCTCTCTCGGGCCATGTCGGCTGGTAGGCTGCACCCAGGTTTGCCTGGCGACGCTTTGAACCGCATGGCAGCTGAGATTGCGCAGGGTGGAGCCGATTTGAAAATAATACGTGAAAGTGTTCAAGAAGAGGAGGCGGAGGATAATGAGAACGCACATGCTTTGCAGAACTAAGGCGATGCTGAGGAGGAGAAGCGATGCTGATGATGATGATGATGATGAGGAGGAGGAGGAGGAGGAGGAGGAGGAGGAGGAGGAGTAGGACGAGGAGCAGGAGGAGGAGGAGGACGGGGAAGAGGTGGAGGAGGAGGAGGAGGAGGAGAAGCGGGAGCAGGAGGAGGACGAGGAGGATGAGGAGGATGAGCGGGAGGGTCAACATCAGCCGGATGATGATGATGATGATGATGCTGGTGATGGTGATGGTGATGATGATGATGATGATGATGATGATGCTGCTGCTGCTGCTGATGATGATGATGATGATGAGGAGGAGGAGGAGGAGGAGGAGGAGGAGGAGGAGGAGGAGGTGGCGAGGAAAGGAAGCATAGGCAGATGAGCAGGACATCAAGCGTGCGGAGGAGGAGGAGGAGAATAAGGGCCAGGATGAAAGGGGATGATGATGGTGTTGATGATGCTGCTGATGATGATGCTCATCATGATGATGCTGATGATGATGATGATGATGATGATGATGATGATGATGATGATGATGATGATGATGGTGATGGTGATGGTGATGATGATGCTGCTGCATATGATGCTGATGATGATGCTGATGATGATGCTGATGATGTTGATACTGCTGTTGATGATGTTATTGCTGGTTGTGATGGTTATGATAATGATGAAAACGACGGCGTTGATGATGGTGCTGATGATAATGAAGAAGCTGATGATGATCCTGATGCCGCTGCTGCTGATGATGATGAAGATGGTGATGATGATGCTGATCATACTGATCATGATTATGATGATGTTGATGCTGATGATGATGCTGATGATGTTGATGCTGATGATGATGCTGATGCTGCTGATGATGCTGATGCTGATGCTGATGCTGATGAAGATGAGGATGAGGATGAGGATGAGGATTAGGATGAGGATGATGATGAGGAGGAGGAGGAGGAGGAGGAGAAGGAGGGGGAGGAGGCGGCGACGGAGTACGCGGAAGAGAAGGACCACCGTGGGCAGGAGGATGGGGGCGGATGATGGGTGATGAAGCGCGGGGAGAGGCAGCCGAGGGAGAGGCGAGAGCAGGATTCCAGGATCATGGCGTGCCGCTTCCGGGCGTTGGTTGGCACAGCCTCGCCCCGCGGGAGCTGCTGGACGCCACCCCTCGCAGGCGACGTCTTGTCCACAAATCCTTGAGTTTCGCTCGAGATAGTCGACCACTCAGGAAAGGGGGTGAACTCGGGGAGACGTACACACCCGAGGGGGGAGCTATTCGGATGCACCCCAGATCGAGGATGGACGCCACCCTCCGTCGCGTATCCTCGAGTCCAGTACCACGTCTCTGGCTCGTTCAAACCCGACGAAGTCTGAGATTAGGGTTGCCATCTGATACCAGAGAAAAGCCCCGATAGGGTTTTAGGGCTATGGGGCGGGGCCCGACAAGGCTATAGGGCTAGAAGGCTATGGGGCTATAGGGCTGTAGGGCCACAGGGTTATTGGGCTATAGGGTTATGGAGCTGTTGGGCTACAGGGCTATAGGGCTATAAGGCTATATGGCTATTAGGGCTATGGGGCTACAGGGCTAGAAGGCTATATAGAGGTACCGGGCACCTGGCCACCCGGGCACACGGGCACCTGGGCACCCGGGCACCCGGGCACAAATCGGGCACCCGGGCCCCCCCCGGCACCCCCGGACACCCGGCCGCCGGCCACCAAATCGGCGCCGCACCTCACTTAACCATATGAATCCGTTAGGACCCCCTACAGAGGCAAGCTCTGATTGGGGAACAGTCGAGGCTGACTAGAAGGTCGTCCCTGCCAAATCAAGGGTGCCCTTGAGTCCTGCGCTTCGCGACCCATGCCATGCCTGCAATGCGGCCCTCGGAAGGTTCTTGTGTCCTCTTGAAGGTGTCGCACAACTGCTATGTCAGCACGTCTTCGTCCCACGCCCACGCCCGGCTTTTTGCCAGCGTGGCAGCGCGGACTTCCGCAGCCCTCATTCGGACCATGGGACGGGCCGACAAAGAAAAGCGGACCAGGCAAGGAACAGAAACGGGCAGGGGGGCGAGGAAGCGAGGAGCGAGAAACGGAGGGGGGAGGAAGGGAAAAACGGAGGGGGAGAATGAGGGAGGAAGGAGGAGAGGGAGGGAGGAGGGAGGAGGGAGGGCGTGCCCTCTCAACGCAACCCCGACTGCACCCCCCGTCAGTCCGCCGCGGCCTCCCTGGCACTCGCCCACGGCGGTAGTCGTCGGGCACGCACCGGCGCACGGCGGGCAGCGCGGGAGGTGCAGCCGCGGCTCTCGGTGTCCACTCGTCGCCTGCTGCGGGCGTCCAGGGAGGCGCTCTGTCAGAGACCCGAATCACCAGGGCTGGGCCCATGTTCCACCACCACTACCAGAAGTAGGAGGAGGAGGAGGAGGAGGAGGAGGAGGAGGAGGAGGAGGAGGAGGAGGATCTCCTCATCCTCCCCTCTCCCCCGTCCTGCCAATGGTAGCGGTGGTGTAAAAACAAGCCCACCGATCAGGGCATGGGGGCGGTGAGGGGTTACATGCAGATTCGCGCCTCGCATGCCCAAGCCGGAGTTGCCCCGGACCGGAGCTGTCCCGGATAACTCGGGCGCCCAACCCCTTCCGAATCCTCGGGGCTGGGGACTGCCAGGGGTAGCTGCTGGTTCGCATGTCGGGGGGGCCGGAGTTGTCCCGGATAGATCGGGCGTCCAACTCTTCCCATATATGTTTGCCTCGTAGAGAAAGAAGATCACGCCAGGAGGAGGAGGAGGAGGGAGGAGGAGGGACGATGTTTGACAATGCTTGACTTGTTCGAATCTTTTTCGTTTTCGTTCGAAATTGATTTTGTTCGTCCAAGATCCGCCTTTCGGGGGGCATGCCCGACCTAGCCCTGGGGACAGGTCTGGGACTTCGGGGGGCCGCGTGCTGAGAAGAAGAGGTGGGGCACTCGCATGTCTGGGGCCACGCCTTTCGCGGTCGACGCGGTGCCCGTTTCAGCCACGCGCGGAGGGGGGCCATGGGGGGGAGGGGGGCAAGCTTCTCAGAAGCCCCCCCTGCTTCTCAGAAGGCGCGGACCTCCTCTCCAGATGCAAGGCCCGCGCCTTCGGAGGAGCAGCCCTCCTTCTAAGAAGCCTTCCCCCTCCCCCTCCCCACCTCTGCGCGCCGCCAACCGCTCCCGGAGTCCATGGGAAAGCGCTCTCGGATGCGGCCGCCGAGCGGCCACGTACCCCCCCGGGCGCGGGAGGTGTTGGAGCATGCGCATGTAGATTCAGCCCTCGACCGACCTCCTCAGGCAGGCCCTGCGCTCACAGTTACGAGTTGAGTCGGGCATGTCCCTCTACAGGAGGGGCATTCGAACAGAATGAAAAGACACGTCTGGGGACGCTATCTCGATGTTGTTATCTGTTCTTGAAGCTACTGGACTATTTTCTATGTGTCCTCCAAAATTCGCCTTTCGGAGGACGTGCCCGGCCTAAGGCAAAGGGCTTCCTGCATCCATAGTTCCTTTTTCGCAGAGGTCTCTTGGCAAGGGCTGCTGCTGACTCAGGGCCTCCCATCGCCCCCTGCCTTCAAGACGGGGGAGAAGGAATGAATGACGAGGCAGGGTGGAGCGATGAAGGAGAAAAGGGGCATTCAAGGATGATGGAGGAGTAGGAGGAGGACTGACGAAGACGAAGAAGTACTTGGGAGGAGAGGGGGCAGGGGTACGAGGAGAACAGAAAGGAGGAGGAAGAGGATGAGGAGGAGGAGGAGGAGGGCGACTGGGGGACGAGGAGAACAGAAAGGAGGGGCAGGAGAGGTGGGAGAGAGACAGGAAGGAGAGGGATGAGTGGGAGGAGAAGGCACTTCCACTCCTCATCCTCTTCCTCCGGCCTCCCCGCCTCACCCCGCGCTTTGTCTCGCAGCGAAGGCGCTTCCGCTCGCGCGGATTCGTATTGAGGTCGCACACGGGCGTGCTGGCTCGGAGCGTGCACGCGCCGTTGCGATTGATCTCCCCCGCCTCCTCCTCCTCTTCCCCCTCCTCCTCCTGCTTCTGGCTGCGGAGGCCCCGCCGGGGAGGGGGGGGGGTCCTTTCGGCTGCAGGGGGGCCCGGGGGTGTGCGGCCCGGGGGACCCATGGAGCCCAGGGCACGTTGCCGCAGTGCCGGCCTGGGCTGTGCAGATCGGGGGGGAACGAAGTGGGTTGTACGGAAACAGTGGGCGCAAATTCCCAAAGCAGCTCCTTGGTATTCCAAACGCACGCCCGTCGTTAAAAGTCAGAGTGAGGGGGCCGAACGGTCTTTCATTGTCCCTGGGTGCGTGGCTCTAGTGGGGATCCATGGTGAGGAGTATGTTTCTTGCGGTGTTGTTGTTGGTGGTGGTGTTGTTAGTGTTGTTAGTGTTGTTAGTGTTGTTGTTGTTGTTGTTGTTGTTGCTGCTGCTGCTGTTGTTGTTGTTGGTGTTGTTTGTGTTATTGTTGTTGATGTTGTTGTTGCTGTTGTTGTTGTTGTTGTTGGTGTTGTTGGTGTTGTTAGTGTTGTTGCTGTTGCTGTTGGTAGTGTTGTTGTTGCTGTTGTGGCTGTTGTTGCGGTTGTGGTTGTTGTTGTTGTTGTTGTTGTTGGTGTTGTTGTTGTTGTTGTTGTTCTTGTTGTTGTTGTTATTATTATTATTATTAATATTCTTGGTGGTGTTGCTGCTGCTCCCCCTCCTGCTCCTCCTCCTCCTCCTCCTCGCCCTCTGCTCCTCCGCATCCTTCTGCCCCCCTCTCCTCTTTGACTTCTCCTCCTCCTCCTCCTCCTCCTCCTCCTCCTCCTCCTCCTCCTCCTCCTCCTCCTCCTCCTCCTCCTCCTCCCCCCCACCCACCCGGCGGGCCGCCAGCCTCTCGGCGAAGACGCGCCCGAAGCCGATCGAGAGGCGCCCGCCCCCTCCCGGGCTCGGTGCCCCGTGGTGGCCGTCGTCGCCGCGAACGGCGTCGTCGCCGTCGCCGCGGCGGCCGTCGTCGTGGCAGGCGTGGCCGTCGTCGTCGTCGTCGTCATCGTGGTTGTCGTCGTCGGAGGAGGCGGTGGTGGAGGAGGAGGAGGAGGAAGAGGAGGAGGAGGAGGAGGAGGGGGAGGAGTAGGAGGAGGAGGGGTAGAAGAGAGGAGGAGGAGAAGGAGAGGAGGAGGAGGAGGAGCAGGAGGTGGAGAGGAGGAGGAGGGAGGAGGGACGGGAACAGGGGAGCCAGGAGGGAGGTAGGAGGAGGAGGAGGAGGAGAGGAGGAGGTGGAGAGAGAAGAGGGGGAGGAGGAGGAGGAGGAGAGGAGGAGGAGGAGGAGGAGGAGGGGGGCAGAATGGAGGAGGAGAGGCGGAGGAGGAGGAGGAGGAGGCGGAGGAGGAGGGGGGGAGGAGGAGGAAGGAGGAGGAGGAGGAGGAGGAGGAGGAGAGGAGGAGGAGGAGGAGAGGAGAGGAGCAGGAGGAGATGGCGGAGGAGGAGGCGGAGGAGGAGGAGGAGGAGGAGAAGGATGAGGAGGAGGAGGCGGAGGAGGAGGAGAGGACTGCTTATTGGACTGCCCATGTCGTGAAAAGCCCCTCGGGGCCAGAGCCGCCCCACCGCGAGCGCCACAACCACGAATGGGCCTTGATCCAACGCAGTCGGGTGCCGAGGGCTGGCCCACCCCCCTGGCGGAGCCGCCTGCTTGGGCTGCCGTGGGCGGGAGGCGGGCAGGGAGAGGAGGAGTTGGAGGATGGGGAAGGAGGAGTAAGAGGAAGGGGGAAGGAGAGATTATGATGTTGATGGTGATGTTGTTGATGGTTGTGATGATGGTGGTGATGATGAAGCTTATGAAAATGATTGTGATGATGATGATGATGATGATGCTGATGATGATGATGATGATGATGGTGATGATGATGATGCTGAAGATGACGATGATGATGATGATGATGATGATGATGATGATGATGATGATGATGATGATGGTGATACTGATGATGCTGATGATGATGATACTGATGATGCTTGCTGATGATGCTGCTTGATGCTGATGCTGATGTGATGATGATGATGATGATGATGATGATGATGATGTGATGATGAGGATGATGAGATGATGATGACGTTTGATGCTGATCATTGATGATGAGGAGGTGGAGAAGGAGGAGGAGGAGGAGGAGGCAGAGGCGGTGGATGATGAGAATGCGGGAGGAGGATGATTGATTGGGAGGAGGAGGAGGAGGAGGAGGGGAGGAGGGGAGGAGGAGGAGGAGGGGGAGCGAGGAGGGAGGAGGAGCATGGAGGAGGGTTATGGAGGAGGAGGAGGAGGGGAGGAGGAGGAGGAGAAGGAGGAGGAGGAAGCGGAGGAGGCGGAAGAGGAGGATGAGCCAGAGAGGGTCGATGAGGGGGAGCCGGGGAGGGGGAGGGGAGGAGGAGGGGGGGAAGGCAACATGCGAGCCGGGCGGCACAGCCGAACAACATTCTATAGAGAGATGTTTTGGAGGGGGGGGGCAAGCACCCAGCCTGACCTCGAGGGCTACCTGATCTTCCATGGGTTGCGGCTTGCCACATGCCAACAGCGACGCCCAGGTGCATGTTGTTTGTTCGGTGTGGGCGACGAGCGTTGTGTCAGACGCCGGGCAGACGCCAGATGTCTCGTCTGCAATGGCGGGACATCATGAGGCTCAGTCTCCTTAGCACATCATTTTTGCTACTCCTCCTACTCCTCCTCATCCTCCTTCTCTTCCTCCTCCTCCTCCTCGCTTGCCTTCTCCTCATATGTTGGATACCATCGGAGAGGCAGCACGCGAGGTATACTCGAACCGTCACCGAGGCTGGCCTGGCAATGCAAGCGTTGCACGACGTGGTCCCGAAGACGACGCTAAGGCAGGACAGGAATGGAATACGGGTGAAGACACATGTAATGAGGATGAGGAGGGTGATGCTGATGCTGAGGATGATGATGATGATGATGATGATGATGATGCTGATGCTGATGCTGATGCTGATGCTGCTGCTGGTGATGATGCTGATGATGATGATGATGATGATGATGATGATGATGATGATGATGATGAATGATGATGATGATGATGATGATGCTGATGATGATGATGATGATGATGATGATGATGATGACGATGATGATGATGATGATGCGGGGGCGGATGAGGAGGTGGAGGATCGGAAGGACGACACATAGGAAACTGACGATATGGATGCTGATGCTGATGCTGATGCTGCCGCTGATGATTGTGCTGATGATGAGGAGGAGGAGGATGCTACTGCTGCTGATGATGATGACGATGAGCGTGATACTGAAGATGATGATGATGATGATGATGATGATGATGATGATGATGATGATGATGATGATGATGATGATGATGATGATGCTGATGCTGATGCTGCTGATGTTGATGCTGCTGATTGCGATGCTGCTGTTGTTGATGATGATGATGATGATGATGATGATGATGCTGCTGATGATGATGATGCTGCTGATGTTGATGGTGGTGATGATGCGGATCCTGATGCTGATGATGCTGATGATGCTGCTGATGATGATGCTGATGATGCTGATGATGATGATGATGACTATGCTGCTGCTGAGGATGAGGATGATGCTGCTGATGATGTTGATTACGATGATGGTTGAGGGCATTTCTCTCCTTTCCCCTCCCTCTCCTCTCTTCCGCCATGGAGGATGACCGGGTAATGGTACGAATCGGAACGAGGATGAGAGGAAGAGGCGAAAGGAGATGGAGATGAGGATGAGATAGAAGCACAGCGAGAGGATTCGGTTTGGGTGGAGGAGGACGACGGCCACCAGTGGGACAGAGAAAAGCCGAGGCGAGAACGACAAGGATGAGGACGACTGGGAAGAGCAGGACGAGAAGGTTGAGGAGAAGGAGGAGGAGGAGGAGGAGGAAGAGGGGGAGGAGGAGAAGGAGGAGAAGGTGGAGGAGGAGAAGGAGTGGGAGAAGGAGGAGGGGGAGGAGGAGGAGGAGGACGACGACGACGAAGACGACGAAAATCAGGAGCACCTTGCCCACGCCCAAATGGCGCCAGAGCCTCGGCCTTCGTGGCGGACGTCTTTGGCTTGCCGCGCGCGCGTAGCCTCTGGCTCGACTCGATCCGACCAGCTGGAGGATTCTCCTCGTCCTCCTCCTCCTCCTCGTCCTCCTCCTCCTCCTCCTCCTCCTCATCATCATCCTCATCCTCATCCTCATCCTCATCCCTCATCCTCCTCCGCCTCCTCTTTCTCCTCTTCCTCCTCCTCCTCCTCCTCCTCTTACCCCTCACCCTCCTCCTCTCCTCCTCCTCTCCTCCTCTCATCCTCCTCCTCTCTCTCCTCCTCCTCCTCCTCCTCTACTTCCTCCCCTCCTCCCCTCTCCTCCTTCCTCCTCCTTCCTCCTCCCCCTTCTCTCCCCTCCTCTCCTCCTCCTCCTCCTCCTCCTCCTCCTTCTTCCCTTCTTCCCCCTCCTTCCCTCCTCCTTCTTCCCACTCTTCCCCCTCCTCCTCCTCACTCTCCTCCTCCTCCTCTCTCCTCCTCCTCCTCCTCCTCCTCTCCTTCCCCCTCCTCCTCCTCCTCCTCCTCCTCCTCCGGCTCCTCCTCCTCCTCCTCCTCCTCCTCCTCCTCCTCCTCCTCCTCCTCCTCCTCCTCCTCTCGTGCTGGCCTGGGCGGGCGGGCCTGCCCGCCCCGTCGCCAGGCCGGAGGCGACGCCCCCGCAGCCGCGGCCAGAGGCTGGGCGGAAGCCACCGACCATCACAGTCGAGACCAGGAGCGGGGGGGAGAGGGGGGTGGGGGGGAGGGGGGGGAAGAGGAGGAGGAGGAGGAGGAGGAGGAGGAGGACAGATGTCGTTTTGTCGTGGTCGTTTCCCCCCCCCCCCCCGTCGTCGTCGTCGTCTCGTCGTCGTCAGTCGTCGGGGAGTCGTCGTCGTCGGCGTCGGCGTCGGCGTCGGCGTCGGCGTCGGCTTCGGCGTCGGCGTCGGCGTCGGCGTCGGCGTCGGCGTCGGCGTCGGCGTCGGCGTCGGCGTCGGCGTCGGCGTCGGCGTCGGCGTCGGCGCCGGCGCCGGCGTCGGCGCCGGTGTCGGCGTCGGCGTCGGCGGCGGCGGCGGCCGTTGCGCGTCGGCGGCGGCGGATGCGGCGACGACGACGACGATGATGACGACCTTTGCGCGCGTGTCATTTCGGGCCCTGCGAACCCAGACCCCCTCGAGCCATGAACTACTCTCACGGCGGGAGATGTTTGTTTCACTATGTTCAGCCGCCGGGTGCCCTTGCCGAGCCCTGGGGCCGTCAAGACACGACTCGGGATGAGAAGCCGGTCCCGGGGAATGGGTCGAGACTTTCAGCGGTCGACGTTAAGAACAAATCATGAACAAATCATGACGTCTGGGGTCTGGGAAGCCCAAGCCGTTGACACGCTAGGCCGCGCAGGGGCGCACACGCTGAGCAGGGTCGGGTGAGACAGCCCTCCGATGTACACGCTCTGAGCGCTCCAAGGCGCTGCGCGCTGGGTGCACGCTAAGCGCGGAGCACTTTAGCGTGTGCAGGCGATTCCCAGCCATGGCCGTACCTCGGGTGCCGCCTTCCCGCGAGCGGCACAGGTCGCCCCATTCCCGAAGGACAGCGTAACACGTTTGGCATCAGGGCTGCCCTGATACCTGATACTCCCGCTTGAATCGCAGTGCATGCCGTGTTCAAGACGTCTGTGTGAACACGCTGCGTGCTGGCTCGGCACGTGTTGGTCCACGTTTTGGTGAACGTTTCGCGCCATGTCTACGTTTCGAGTCTACGTGCTGAGCCCACGTGTTGCGTGCTGCGCATCGGGGCACGTATTGTCCCACCAGCGTCCCAGGCTGCTCAGAGATGCCCCCAGGAGCGCCCCAAGGCCGCCGAAGAGGCACCAAAGAGGGCCCCAAGAAATCCAGGATGGCCCCTAAGACGGCCCAGAAGGCGCCCAAAACGGACCAAAAGCTTTTCAAGAGGGCCGCCAGAGGCCAAACAGATGCCCCCCAAGCGCCCCCCGAGCGGCCCTCCGATCGCCCTTGGCGCACAGGTGGCCCCCGGAGCATCCTGGCGGCCCCCAAGACGCTCATAGAGTCCACCAAGAAGCCTCCAAGAAGCCCCCAAGAGGCCCCCAGTAGACGCCCAAGTGGCCCCCATGAGTCCCCTGAGCGGCCCCCTATAGAGATTAGAAGATACCTCTTCCACGCCTCAAATCGGATTTACCTTAATTCCAGGAGGTATAAAGCCACTGAGTATACAAGCGCTCTCCCCACTCTTTCTCCTCTTCCTCTCCCTCCTCCTCATGTCTCCTCCCCCTTTCTCTGCAAGTGCACAATGTGAATACTACTCTCCTCTCCCCCCTGATGACGTTCAGAAGATGTTCGGACCCCTCCGCGCATTGTTTTTACACAGGGTTCCCGAGATTCGGGTTTTCGCTTGGTTTGTTTCAAATATTTGCTCCCGCTGAGGTGCTGGCCTCATTTTCGCGCTTCCGCTCGTTCCGAATCGTGCTCCCGCTGCAGCGCTGGTCTCATTTCCGCGCTTCCGCTCCTTCCGAATCGTGCTCCCGCTGCAGCGTTGGCCTCATTTCTGCGCTTCCGCTCCTTCCGAATCGTGCTCCCGCTGCAGCGTTGGCCTCATTATTTCCAGTGTCATGCCACGACATGCAATGCAATGCAATGCTATGTGGTGTTCCGCTGTGCGGTGCCATGCCTTCAGCTGCAATGCTAGGTTTTGCAGTGCTTGACTTCGCAGTGCAACGCCATGCTATGCCATGCTACGGTTTGATCTTCAACGCCAAGCTATGCCATGTTGTGTTCTGTGCCGCTGTGCGATGCCATTATTTGCGTTGCAATGCTTGGTGATGCAATTCTTCACTACAAAACGCCACGCCATGCTATGACATACTACGCTCTGCCGTGCTCTTCTACGCCCCACTATGCCGTGCTCTACGACGCATCGCGCACCCTCTCGGGACCATTGCCCTGCTCCACATCCGACTGTGCGAATAGAGAGGGGGTCTACGCCATGGTAAGGGACGGGAGCGAGGGGTAGGACGTCAGATATGACGTCAGCGCACTTAGCCCCACCCCTCCCTCCTCTCCCCTGCTTTCTCCCGGTTCCCGCCCGCCTTCCTCTCCTCTGACTCTCTTGCTCTCCTTCTTGTCTTGCTGTCTCCTCCTCCTTCCACCCTCCTCCGTCTCTCTCCTCCCGTTCTCACTTCCATTCCCTCTGTGCTCCTTTCCCCTTCCTCCTCGTCCTCCCTCCTTTCTGTCTCTTCCTCGTCCTCCTCCTTCCCACACCTTCCTCCTCCCCTTCCTCCTCCTCCTCCTCCTCCTGCTCCTCCTCCTCCTCCTCGTCCTCCTCCTCCGCCTCCTCCTCCTCCTTCCCCCGATCTCCTCCAGAAGACTTTCCTGAAGCAGTGCAGAAGCTCGAAGAGAGGGCACCACGACGGTCACGGGAGGCCCCTCAGGCTGCCCAAGAAATCTTCAGCAGCACAGTCAGGCCCCAAGAGGCCGCCAGAGTACCCACACAGGGCTTCCAAGTGGGCCAAATGAGTCAAGACTAAGAAGAGTCCCAACGTGTCTTCGTGTCTTTGCTGGAACTCCCATGCGTTGCAGAAGCGTGATTCCAAGATAGCATCGGAGGCCCAAATGGCCCCGAAGAGAGTTGCACGATTGCCCAAGGATAGCCCAGGATTGCTGCGAGTACCAACCCTCAATGCGACTTCAGGCACCAACGTGGGGACTCCCAGGCCAAGGACCCGATCATGCGGACACGGCACCTCTGACGCGCTCTACGTTCGGCCACATGCCAAGTACATTTTGAGCGTGCGCGAAGCGCACGCGATGGTTCTAGACTCAACAGGACTCCGAAGACCGCCAGACGGCCCCCAAGGACTCCCCGAGAGGAGGTCAGGTAGTGGCCAGGTAGTTGGCAGGATGATGATGCTGATGGTGCTAACGGCGAGGGCCATGTTGGCGGTGATAGTGAAGATGACAATGACTACGGTGATCATGATGACGGTGATGAGGATGATGAGGGTGATGTTGATGTTGATGTTGTTGATGGTGATGTTGATGGCGATGATGATGATAATGCTGCTGCTGCTGCTGCTGCTGATGATGATGATGATGATGATGATGATGATGATGATGCTACTGGTGCTGATGATTTTGATGATGATGATGCTGATGGTGATGATGGCGATAGGGAAGACGATTGTGGCGACGATGAAGAAATTTCGTGCATGGCAAGGAACACCAATTACGGAGTGCTAGGTAGAGAGGATTGTTGCGCATGCTTCTGGGGTCGGCGGGTGTTTACGTAGCACCCCGCAGTTGCGGATACGAGTGAGGGGGCAGCGAGGACGTCGTCAGTCTGCGAGGCTCTGACGAAGCCCGTCGCAGGCGCCTAACTTTTACAATTATGCATTGAGCCCGCCGCAGGCGAGTAGGCTTGCCATATAGGAGTCATGGCTCATCAGGAGCAATTGGTCTTTAACCCCCCTTTTTCCCTTTTTCCAATGCCCCCCTCTTTTTTCCAATGGCACTTGCTTGCTTGCTCTTGCACGCTTGCTCTCGCTTGCTTGCTCTTGCTTGCCCTTGCTTGCGTGCTTGCACTTGATCGCTGGCTCTTGTTTGCTTGTTACTGCTCGCTTGCGCTTGCTTGCCTCCGCTTGCTTGATTTTACTCCACCCGTCCTCCTCCCGTCCTCCTTTTGTCCTCCTCCCATCCTCCTCTCGTCCTCCTCCTGTCTTCCTATCTATTTGGAGTCAACGCTGGCTGATATTCGCAAAAGCAGTGTGGGTGGATCGCGGGGTGGGTCGCGGGTGGCTCACGGGTGGGTCGCGGGTGGGTCGCGGGCCGGGTCGCGGTTGGTTCGCGGGTGGGTCGCGGGGTGGGTCGCGGGTGGGTCGTGGGTGGGCCGCGTATGGGCCGCGGGTGGGTCGCGGGTGGGTCGCGGGCCGGGCCGTGGGCTGGGTCGCGGTGTGGGCCGCGGGGTGTGTCGCGGGGTGGGTCGCGGGTGGGTCGCGGGGTAGGTCGCAGGGTGGGTCGCGGGTGGGTCGCGGGCGGGTCACGGGGTGGGTCGCGGGTGGGTCGCGGGCTGGGTCGCGGGCTGTGTCGCGGGCTGGGTCGCGGGCTGGGTCGCTGGGTGGGTCGCGGGTGGGTCGCGGGGTGGGTCGCGGGAGGGACGACAACAACAACATCAACAACAACAGCAATAACAACAACAACAATCATTTTAAGATTGTTCGCCCGTATCTGCTCGGGGCCACGAAGGGAATCCACATGGGCCACAACGGGCGCAAACGAGCGGGGGCAACGAAGGGCATACGTATACTGGGCCGCGGAGGGCAAGGACGTGACAGCGGGGCCACGAAGGGCATGCATATGGGGCCACCACGGGCGTGAACGAGCGGGGGCCACGAGGGGCATACATATATGGGGCCACGAAGGGCACCGAGGGGGCCACGAAGGGATGCAACTGGGCCACGCAGGGCAGCGAGGGGGCCACGAAGGGCTGCAACGGGGCCACGAAGGGCTGAAACGGGGCCACGAAGGGCAGCGAGGAGGCCACGAGGGGCTGCAACGGGGCCACGAAGGGCAGCGAGGGGGCCACGAAGGGCTGCAACGGGGCCGCGAACCAAAGCGAGGGACCACGAAGGGCTGCAACGGGGCCACGAAGGGCAGCGAGATTCCGATTCTTAGGTAATCTGTGAGGGAGTCCGGAGCGTGAGCGCGATTCCTGGGTGCCTGGGTGTTGGGAACGCGACGCTTGATTAAATTGTTGGAAATTCCAACGCAAGGGCGCTATCCTTCAGTAAATTGCAAGCAAGTCTCCAGCGAGTGCGCGAGACCAGAGCGCAGGGGGAGCGATTCCTAAAGAAATTGTGAGGAAATCCCCAGCGAGAGCGCGAATCCCCCATAAAATGCCAGGATTTCTCGGGCGAGGGCGGGCGTCCTGGCTAAATTGTGACGAAGTCTCAGGCGGGAGCCGTTGTTGAACATTATTCCTTCTAAAGAATTATTATTGTTGGGACCCCTGGTGCGCGACCTCTGCGCCGCGCCTAGGCCGCAGCTACATTTTCATCATTTTTTCGCGAAAGCTTCAGAAAAGTGGATTACCCCCGGATCCGGTTTTTTGTTGACGCTCGTTTTCCCTTGCAAAAAACAATAGAAAATGAAAATTATTGTTCTTACTTGATCAAATTGCAAGAATCCCTTGCAAAAAATAAGGTAAAGTGGACATTCGTGCGCGCAAGACGAAATCCTTCCAAAACCTTAGGTTTCGTAACGATTTTAACATAAAAACATCAAAAACCCAATGGTTTTTTAAGAAAAAATTGTCAAAATGTCCTTCCGCGCGCGCTGTCCGAATCCCACAAAACCAATGGTTTTTCAACATTTATGTTACATGAGCTCGCGCGAGCTACTTTTTCTTGTTCTAACATAATCAAATTTCAATAATCCCTTGCAAAAAATAAGGTAAAGTGGACATTCGCGCGCGCAAGACGAAATCCTTCCAGAACCTTAGGTTTCGTAACGATTTCAACATAAAAACATCAAAAACCCAATGGTTTTTCAAAAAAAAATGTCCAAATTTCATCCCGCGCGCGCTGTCCGACTCCCACAAAACCAATGGTTTTTCAACATTTATGTTACATGAGCTCGCGCGAGCTACTTTTTCTTGACATTTCAATCACTTGCAAAAAAAAGTAAAGTGGACATTCGCGCGCGCAAGACCAACAAAAAACACGACGATCTCAGGAACTTGCCCCAAAAATGTGACCAACTCCGCTCTCTCTGTCTCTCTCTCTGTCTGCTCTCTGTCTCTCTCTCTGTCTGTCTGTGTCATGTATTGTATGTCACAATTGCAGGATGCTGGGCACACGCGCGCCCCGAATAAGTGACCAAGTTCTGTGGGTGTGTACCCCACGCCAGTGTAGTAGCCACGGTCGTCCGCACGCCACGAAGTGAAGTGTCCCAACGTCATAGGGCGGGAAGCTGGGTTTGGGTGGTCGCGAAGAGTCGTTTGGATATTTGGTAGAGCTTGAACTGCCCCCCCACGAAGTGGGGGTATTGTCTCGCGTCGCATGAAAACCCTGGCACTGGTGAGAACACTGAGCGTTCGGGTAAAATGATTGTTGTTGTTGTTGTTGTTGTAACCCCGGGGCCAGGAGCCCACTTTGAGCCTCAAGAGTTTCCCTGATAAAAAAACCGGGTGCGAGCGTCGAGGGGCACATTTTGATACAAAAACACAGCATGCACCTTTGGGGGTTCAACAACAACATCAACAACAACAGCAACAACAACAATGCGAAAAGCATAATCCGCACCACGGATCCCCACTAGAGCCACGCACCCAGGGACAATGAATGCCCGTTCGACCCCCTTTATTCTGATATCTATAAGAGGAAATAAATGTGGGCACGGCAAAGATCTCTCCCTCTGCCTTTCCTCCTCCCCTTCCTCCCCCGCGTACCTCCACTGCTCACATTGCCCTCCCCTCGCCCTCCCTCCTCCATCCCTCCGTCCTTCCCTTCCTCTCGTTCTCCTCCAAGCTACCATCTCGTATGCCTCCTCTCCCTCCTCCCGCCCCAGCGAAGCGAGGACCAAGAGCAAAACGGACCTGAGGATCCAGAAGGCGGCGGACCGCCGGGCCCGCCATGCGACGGCAGTGAAGACCCAGGCCTCCTGCAGTCAGCCTTCATCGTCGTCGTCTGCGTCGAGGGATGGCAAGGGAGGGGGGAGGGGGTGGAATGTTACAGGGAGGCGAAGGGGGAGCGGAAGAGGGGGCGGAGGAGGGGGAAGAGAAGGTGGAGGAGGGCAAAGAGGAGGGCACTGATGGGGGGGAACGGAGGTGGAGGGAGAGGAAGAAGTTGTGGAAGGACAGGGTAAGGAGGAGGAGGAGGAGGGCAAACACGGAATTGTTGAAGATATGGGGATGGGAGTTTGAGGAGAAGGGTGGGGAGGATGGTGAGCAGGAGGGGGATACGCGATGGGGCGAGGGAGCAGGATGACAGAGCGCTTGCGAGGGGGAGGAAGAAGAGGAGGAGCAGCAGGAGTAATTCGTAGCACCCCGCAGATGCGGATAAGAGTGAGGGGGCGGTGGGGACGTCGGCAGTTGGCGAGACTCTGGAGAAGCCCGCCGCAGGCGCCCAAGTTTCGCAAATTGTGCAACGAGCCCGCCGCAGGCGCCGAATCTTGTGTTCAACCAATGTGGGTAAGTCGCGGGTGGAACGCAAATGGGTCGCGGGTGGTTCGCGGGTGGGTCGCGGGTGCAGAGGGCAGAAAGTGCACCCCATAAGAATCACCCCGACAAGCGAAGCCACTTAGTAAACGCACACAAGGAATGAATCGAACAGGGCAGGGCTGTTTAGTCAACGCCCAGGCCGTTTTAGTAAACGTCAGTTGTCGGGTCCGGGTGGTTGTTCCTCCCTTGAGGGTGGGTCGCGAGGTGGATCGCGGGTGAGTCGCGGGGTGGGTCGCGGGTGGGTCGCGGATGGGTCGCGGGGTGTGTCGAGGGGTGGTTCGCGGGTGTGTCGCGGGGTGGGTCGCGGGTGGGTCGCGGGTGATTCGCGGGTGGGTCGCGGGGTGGGTCGCGGGTGGGTCGCGGGCTGGGCCGCGGGTGGCTCGCGGAATGGGTCGCGAGGTGTTCGCGGGGAGGGTCGCGGGGTGGGTCGCGGGGGGGTCGCGGGTGGGACGACGACAGCAGACGCCTTTAACAACAATAATAATAACATTAACAACAACAGCAACAGCAACGCAACAGGCAGACTTCTCACCTTGAATTCCTTATTCAGCCACGCACCCAGGGGCAAGGAATGACCGTTCGGCCACCTCATGGTGCGGTGGGGAAGACGGGTGGGATGAACAAGAGGGGGAGGAGGATGAGGAGGGGGAGGGAGAGAAAGAGACGGAGAGAGAGAGAGAGAGAGATAATCAGGTAAATAAGTAAATAAAGAGATGAGGAGACACAGAAAGAGAGAGAAAGAGAGAAAGAGAGAAAGGGAAAGAGAGGGAGAGAGAAAGAGAGAGAGAGAGAGAGAAACAACTATAGAGATAGAGAGAGAGATAGAGAGAGAGAGAAACAACAAAAACAGGGGTGGAGAGAGAGAGAGAGAGAGAGAGACAGGGAGGAGCAGGAAGAGAGAAACAGAGATGGAGAGAGAGAGAGGGAGAGAGAGCGTGAGAGGGGGGACAGAGATGGATAAGGGGTACGGGTCTTCTGGAAGAGGAGGAGGTGGAGAAGGCTGAGGAAGGGAGGCGACGGATGAGGCGCCAGGAGGACGACGAGGAGATGGGACACTGGGAGCATGATGAGGATGGAGTCATTGAATGAGGGAGGGACGGCCACGCCAGTGGATGAGAGTGCGGAGAAGGGAATATAAGTGGGGGTCGAGAGGGGGGAGGATGGAATATGAGTGTATGCGCAGGAAGGGGTTTGGATGGGGGGGGGCCTGGGGCTAGGGGAGGAGGAAGGGGAAGGGCATGTTGGTGATTATGACGCGTCGACTAGTATGAAGGTGACGATGTACATGGCGGCGATGATGCTGCCGATGGTTGTTGTGGTGCTAGTGATGATGGCGACGACGACGGTGATGGTGATGATGATGGTATTGACGATCACGAAATTGATGGCGATGATGAGCAGATGGGAGGACGAGGATGTCCAGGAGGATGCTGATGATGGTGATGATGACGCTGGTGATGATGATGATGATGATGACTATGATGATGAGGATGAGGATGGGGATGATGATTAGGATGATGATGATGATGATGACGATGATGGTGATGATGATGACGATGATGATGATGATGATGATGATGGTGATGGTGATGGTGATGGTGATGATGATGATGATGATGATGATGATGATGATGATGATGATGATAATGATGATGATGATGATGATGATGATGATGATGATGATGATGTTGTTGATGATGACCATGATGATGATGATGATGATGATGATGATGATGATGATGATGATGATGATGATGATGATGATGATGATGATGATGATGATGATGATGATGATGATCGTCATGGGGAGCCTGAGCTTCAGGACGGGTAGCGGGGATGCGACGGAGGAGGCGCCCGCGCCCAGCCTCTCGCGGGGTTATGTGCGGAGCCTTTTGCGTGCAGGCTCTTCGCTCGTGTCGCCAGCTTGAGGGCAGCTGGAGGAGGAGGAGGAGGAGGAGGATAAGGATGAGCGTGCGAGAGTGTGAGAAGATCAGGTGGATGAGGAGATCAGGAGAAAGAGTAGACGGACGAGTGTCTTAGTTGCTCGCTTGGTCTGCTCTACTGGCAAGAGCGCTGTACGAGCACGCGCGGGCGACTTCAGCCCCTCCTCCCTGCATTGCGAGAGCTGTTGTGCCGAAGGGCAGACTTGGCTCTCTTATCCTGTACTCCTCCCCCGCCCCCTTCTGTTTCTTCCTCCGCCTGCGCGCCTTCCCCCCCCCCCTCCCCCCGCGCGGCCGCCCTCGTCTTTTTCCCCCTCCTCGCACGCCAGCCAACTTAGCCTGTCGGTTGCCCCGGGTAGCCACACGCTGGAGCGGACCGCCGCTGCCTCGCCGCCGACGAAAGAAAAGACGTGCTCATCCCTCCGCGCCCCATCCCCCCTGCCTCCTGGCATCGCTCGGACGTGTGCATTTTTTTCTGCGAGGACCATCGAGGAGCATCCTTGATCGCTGGGCGACAAAAAAAAACCACGCACGAAACCCGAACAAAAAGACAGGGAATGGACGTCCGAGCGATGGCGAGGCCCGGCACGCGGCTCGTCCCTGTCGCACCGTGCGGCGTGCGAGGGCGGGCCGGGGAGCTTCGCGGGGGAAGGCGTCCCCGCCGCGCTCGCGCGGGAGCAGAGCTGGAGGGTTCTTCCGAGAGCTGCACGGGCGGTCGGAGGGCGGGCCGCTGTCATGTGCCTTGCCTCTGGCGTCGTGCGCGCTCGCCTTGGGCATTCCAACGGGTGCACGGATGGTGGGCGTTTTTGTTGTTGATGCAACAAGCACAAACCAAACTGGTTTTTTTGGTGAACACAGTATATATGCATATATATATATATATGTGTATATATATGTATGTCTTCCGTTTTGGAGATCTTACCCGAGGCCATGCTAGAGCTCCCACACCAAACTAGTTTTTTGGTGAACACAATATATATATATATATATATATATATATATATGTACACATACATATACATATACATATACATAGATATATGTAAATCGGTTTTCCGTCTTGGAGATCTTACCCGAGGCCATGCTAGAGCTCCCACACCACGGTATCCTTCAGGCGCACAGGATGCACAGACGAGGGGCAGCTTTTGAGAGCTCGGCCGTCGGCGGGCACCTCCTCGAACTCGATGGCCCCACGTCATCGTCATCCGCATAGCCGGAAACATGGAGGACAGTTTTTGTTTGTGTTTTGTTGGATGTTCTTTGGATTGTTTGGATTGTTTGGGGGTTGTTCCGGTTTTATGGATGTGTTTGAAGTGTGTTGGGTTTTTTGGGGACTCGAAACGAAGCTCCCGCCTCACACGCCGGTCGTTGAAAGTAGGTATTTTTGGATTCCAGATCCTAATCTACTTCCAGCGCCTTCCTGCTTCAAGAATCGACGCGCTTTTGCTGTGCTTTGTTATCTTCTGGGATGCCTGAACCCGGTCAACTTCATCCGCCTTCCTACTTCATGCTCTTACCTACTTCTTCCAGCCGACGTGTAATGCTGGGTCCATGTGGCGTTCGTCTTTCATGGGGGGCGCTTCGCCCAGTGAGAATGGAGTGCATGTAGGAGCTAGTGAGGGGGGAACTCGTAGGAACCAGCGAGGAGGGGATCTGGGACGGGATGGTGTCTTGCAGCGTTTTCGGTACATGTTGGGTGTATGTTGATCCTGCTCCTTCTTGTGCTCCTACGCCTTTTCCCTGGCTGCGTCTGTTGCTGCTGCTGCTGCTGCTGCTGCATCTCCGCCTCCTGCTCCTTCACCTCATGCTCCTCATCGCTCTCCTTGTCTACGCCATCGTCGTCCTGCTACTGGTCCTCATCATGTTCCCTCTTCCTCCACCTCCTTCCCGCAGTTTCCCCCCTCCTGCCCTCTTCCACACTCTGCCCCTTCCCACCCTCTTCTGGTCAACGGTTTCTAGCCTATGTCGAGATCTTCATCCCGGGGATTACACAAGTGCTGCGGCAGGGATATCGACGAGGACAGGCACCTGGGCCCATCCGGTTTGAGCGGCACGGTCGGCTTCGACGATGTGGCCGCAAACTGCAGGAGAAACGATGTCAGGGATACAGCCACGGAGCACCCCGACGCTTACGCATGGCAGCCGGCCGTGATGTGTCACGTTCTCGGGAGCACCCGTCCTGACGGCTGGGCGCCCTTTCCGACGACGCCTTGGATCGGCCCAGTCGATCCGAAGAGTTGGGGTGCCACTCCTGGGAGGTGAGAGCCAGCATCGGCGCTGGTATGTCCGTGGTCCAACACGGGTATCATCTGGCGTAATCCCGCCCAATTCCGTTTAGTCCCGCTCTGTCTGGTTTTATCCGGCTGGTTCCTGGGCCTGATCGGGCCCCGCGGTTCCCCAAACATTGCTTGCACTCACTCTAAGGGAATTTCGCTTGGGTGGCGGTCCAGCGGTTCCGTGGTCGCGCCGTCGCCGCCCGGTCGCCGCTTCTTCGCCGCCCGTCGTTATGGCCTGGGTGCCGCTCTGGCGGCTCCGTGGTCGCCGTCGCGTCATCGCCGCCCCGTCGCTGCCTGGTCGCCACCCGTCGTCTGGGCCTGGGCATTGGTCTGGTGGCTCCGGGGTCGCCGTCGCCGCCCCGTAGCCGCCCCTTAGCCGCCTCGTCGCCGAAGGTCGTCTGGGCCTGGGTGCAGGACTGGCGGCTCCGTGGTCGCCGTCGCCGCCCGGTCGCCGCCTCGTCGCCGCCCGTCGTCTGGGCCTGCCAGTCTGGCGGCTCCGTGGTCGCTGTCGCCGCCCCGTCGCCGCCTCGTCGCCGCAACAAGGACCGCGCTCACAACATAGATTACACAAGGTAGACTCTACAACATAGATTAAACAACATATTTCGCACCACGTAGATTGCACCACACAGATTGCCCCATCTATCTTATGTGCATATATGCGTATGTATATTGCTAATGACATGTTGCGCCACACAGGTATCACCACATATGTTGCACCACGTAGGTTGCACAACCCAGATTGCACAACATCAATTGCAAACACACACGCGCTGTTGGGGGTCCAGGATGGGTAACATTTAGTGATTCCTTAATCGGGCTTTGCAGCCCTCAATCGTAGCCGCGAAGACCTCCCAGAAGTCATTTCCCCAGAAAAGGAGGGGGAGGATGAGAAATGTTGAAAAAAGAGGACGGGGAGGAGGAGGAGGAGGAGGAGGAGGAGGAGGAGGAGAAGGAGGAGGAGGAGGAGGAGGAGGATCAGCAGCAGCAGCAGAAAGAGGAAGAGGGTCGAGGAGAACTTGTGTTCGCCCGCGAGGCCTAAGTTGCAATGCATCTTCGTATGTCCAGATGGCGATGCTATGGCACGGAGAAAACCCCACCCAGGCGGTAAAACAACGAAAAGGGGCGACGAGAGCTCTGGCGTGAGAACGCCCCCCCCTCGCCAAAAGCTTGGCCAACGGACCTCGTCTGAAGACGTGGCACAGGGGGGAGGAAGAAGATGAGGAGGAGTAGTCGGAGGACGAGGAGGAAGTGAGCGAGAAGGAGGGAATGGGAGGGTAGGGGAGGACATGACATGGATGATGATGCTGATGAGGAGGAAGAGGATGATGATGATGATGATGATGATGATGATGATGATGATGATGATGATGATGAGATGAGGATGAGGATGAGGATGATGATGATGATGATGATGATGATGATGATGATGATGATGATGATGATGATGCTGATGCTGATGCTGATGCTGATGCTGATGCTGATGCTGATGCTGATGCTGATGCTGATGAGGAGGAGGAGGAGGAGGAGGAGGAGGAGGAAGAGGAGGAGGAGGAGGACTCTTTTGATGATGAGGAGGAGGAGGAGAACAAGAGGGGGAGGAGGAGGGGGAGGGACGGCTTGAGGACGAACAGAGGGTGGATGATAAGGCGGAAAAGGACGACGACGACGAGGAGGAAGACAAGGGCGAGGGCGAGGAGGATGAGGAGGCGGAAAAGGACGACGACGGCGAGGGCGAGGGTGATGGCGAAGTTGCGGGAGAATCAGGGGAGTGGATGGGAGGTGGGCCACCCGGAGCGCGGCTCGTACCAAGCACGCCTCAGGACAGTGATCGTTCTTTTGTTCTTTGTTTCGCCGAGCGGCGCGGGCCCTCGCACCAACCCCCCCTCCTCCCTCCGTGGAGTAGATCTCGGCTGTTTTTGTTGGCGCCTGTTTCGAGCGGGTGGAGCCTCTCCTCCAGAGGACTCACGGCCCCAAACAATCGCACTATTCAGAGGTCTGGAGCCAGGCCCCCCCCCCTCCTCATCCCCCCCCCTTCGCCAAATGCCGAAACGTCGAGTAAAACAAGTTGACCAAGAAGCCGGAGCCCCGCAGGCCGACTTCCACCGCGCAGTGAAGCGCACGCGTGGTGCCAGCAGACGGGGAAGGGCCCACCCATCAAACTACTCCAGCCCATTCCGAAGGCCTCAATTTGTCATCCATTTCCAGTGGGAGGGGGGGGGGGGGGTGCGTCGTGGAACATTGGGAAATTCATGTGAAACCCGTACGCCCCCCTCCACCCGAAGTTTGGGTCTTTGGGTTCCGTTGGGGTGTGCTGGTAGATAGTCAAGGAAGGGCCCACCCAGGATCACCCACTGCAAACCAACCGCGCCAGAAGCGCACACGTAGTGACAGCGGGGCCAAAGCAGGCCAGGCGAGCCTGAGTCATTGCTCATGCCGTCGACAAAACGGCGCAATGCGACGATGCCGAAGATGGCGAAGGCAGACTCGCCCGATGGGTGCGAGGACGGAAGCGTCATGGCTTTCGCGATCAAGGCCGCGCGCACGACCTCTGCGCCAGGTGCTGCCTAACACGGGCGTTCCGTTGAGAAGGTGCGCGAAAGAAGCCCGAGATGGGGAAGTTCGAGGACGTGAGGAGGTGGATGATGAGGAAGAGCTGGTGGACTCAGGTGAGATCTTCCTGGCAGTCTGGGCCTGGGCTGACTGCCCGTACTCTTCCTCTACTCGTCGTCTTCCTTGGCATGCTGGATACATGTCTCTTGCGCATCTGCCCTTCTCCTCAATACTCGGCCCTCCTCTTCCGCCCCCTCTCATCGACACTCCTCCCCCCATCACCGTCACCACCGCGTGTTCGTGGACATGCGGACCTCGTGCGGATGGTTGGACGTTATTGTTCCGGGCGACCGCCTGTTCTTGGCCTCGTGGCGCCTCTGCGCGACGTGCACATGGTCTTGCGGAAGAGGGGAGGAGGGGGAGGAGGAGGGCGCGAGGATAGATAGAGAGAAGGAGAGAAGTCCACAGAGACACTCACTGGGTGCAGCCACCCTCGTCTGTGTGGCCCATGGCGCCTGTTCGGCAGAGTTGGGCAAGCTGGCCCAGCCTCTCACCCTGCAAATGCACAGGGCTGTGTGCAGAAGGCTGGCCCATCGCCTGGAAGAAGCCTCGGCCGAAAGCGAACCCAGGCCCCGCTCCATTCCTGTGGGGGAGCAGTTCTCGGATCGGAACGCTGGCCTTCGGCACGGCGCCGCGCTGAGGCATGCGCCGCGTGCTTGTGAGTGCATGTCCTCGCTCGGGCGATCCGGAGCATTTTTGGGGAGAAGCAGGGCTCGTTGTGCCTCTGTCCGCGTCTCTCTGCGGCGCGTCCAGTGTGGGGGAAAGCGAGGGGACAGGCCTCCGTTGCAGGCGGCGGGGCTTCGCAGAAGCCGCCCTGTGCCTTCTGAGAAGCCGCCTGCGTCTTCGGAGCAGGCTCAGGGAGCTTCTCAGCAGGTCAGAGGCCATCCGAGCTTTCTGAGGAGCTCCGCCCCCGCTGCCTTCCCCCTTGGGCTCGTCGCCAAGTTGTCCATTCCCTCTGCTTCTCCCTCCCGGCATTGCCTTGCGCCCCGCATAGTCGTTCGCGTGCCCGATGGCAGGTGAGCTTTTGCGGCGGACATGTCGACAAGCTGCACCACGAGGACATCGCTTATCTGCACGCGGAGGAGCGCGCTCGATCTGATCTAGACCCGCGCTTCCCTACTCCTTCGGTCGGAGGAGCTGCAGTAGCAGCAGCAGCAGCAGCAGCAGCAGCAGCAGCAGCAGCAGCAGCAGCAGGAAATCATCGGGGGCAGGAGCATGACCATGAACGATGCTACGCTCGCGGCCGCCACCGCCTGCAGCGTGTAGTGGTCATGCTTCTGGGCAGGTTCGCGAGCGTATGACAGCCAGCACGGCACATGCGCTATGTTTCGGGCGAGTGCCCGCATACCTTAGCGTAGATTTGTGGAAGCCGACTAATGGAGAGGAGCATGTTGCCAAATACTTTCCAGATGTCTAAAAGATGTTCCAAACATGTTTGACATATGTCAGACACATGTTTGAAACATGCCAGAAACATGCTTTATACAGTTTAAGCACATCTTTAGTTCAATGATCGGATTGCTAGAGTGCCCATTGTCATGGCATCCACAAGCGTAGATGAGCGCGGCTCCTGGAGCAGGGATGGCAGCTGGCGGCTCGTGTCCAGCTGCCCGCGCTGGCGCGGCACCCTGCGTGGCGACGCTTCGGGCACTGCTCGGACAGGCCCGTGGCGCGCGGCGCCCCCCCTCGCAAGGGGGGGGCTCTCGAGGGGCTGTCCTGGGCCGCCCTGGGGCCGTCCTGGGCCCGCGTGGGGCGTTCCCGGGGCCGTCTTGGAGCTCTCCTGGGCCGTCTTGGTGCGTCCTGGGCCCCATCTCGGCCATCTGGGGCCGGGGCTGTCTCGGGGTTTACATTGAAGGCCCCATCGCGCCAGCTTGGCCCCCCTTGGGCCGTCCTGGGCACCTCTTGGGCCGTCTCGGGGCTCCCCTTGGGGCTGTCCGGGGCCGTCTGGGGGGCTTCTTGGGCTTCTCTTGGGCTCTTATTGGGCTGATTTGGCGGGCTGTCTCCTTGGGCTCTTTGGCCTCTGAGGCTCCTCCGAGGCCCTTCTGGAGCCACCTTTTTTTGTTCCCAGAGGCCCAGGACGCGCCTCATGGTCAGTTACCAAAGGGATTACATTGGTTCTGAACGATGTTGGTTTCCTTGCAGGGCATCTTGGCCTTCTCCCCGTTGTCTTGGAAGGATCGTGGCTTCGTGGGTGGTGCCTCTTGGGGTCTTCCTGGCTGCGAGTAAGAGTGGGAGGAAAGGGATGAGGAGGAGGAAAGCAAGTACGAATAATGAAGCGGATTATGATCGGGGATGGGGATAAGAAGGAGGAAGAAGAGTCAGGAGGGAGGATGTGGAGGAGTGGGATTCTTCGGAGCGGCCGGGGAGGCGTCCCGTTGTCCTGTTGCTCTGCGAGCGCTCGCTTATGATGACGAGGAGCAGGCAGCGCCAGGGTGACGAGGGCGCGGAGGAGAGGAACGGCCAGGTGCCTTGAGATTTTTCCACGGCGTGGCCCCCGGACGTCCAGCCTCCCCTCCCCAGGGGCTGTTTTTTTCTCCTCCCGGGCCGCATGTCTGACGTCCTCCCTGGGGCCCCGCGAGGGCCCCCAGAGCGCCCAAAGGCGTCCAGCGACCTCCGCCGCAATGTTTTTTTGTTGCTTCACGGCGCGAGCACGCCTGTGGCCGCGCATGGATGGCGACGACGACGGCGGCGACGACGACGACGACGATGGCGACGACGACGACGGCGACGACGACAACGACGACGACGACAACGACGGCGACGACGACGACGACGTCGACGACGACGGCGACGTCGACGACCACGGCGACGACGACGACGACGCTGTGGTGCCCACAGGACGATGCCCGGCGCCTGCGGGCCCCAAGCCAGGACCCGCTGGCCTCTCCAGCGCGCCGCCGTGGGCGGGCGGAGCTCGCGGCCGCTGCCGCGGCAGGCCGTCGTCCTCGCCGTCCCCTGCCGCTGGCCGAGCTCTGAGCGGTGGGGCCTCCACGGGGTTTGTCCTTGGCACTAGCCGTAGACGCGCTAACGGTGTGTTAGCTAACGTTACGTCGGGCGTGTCCCTCTACAGGGGGGAATATTCAAACGTAGTTTTAAAAATACGTAGTCAGGGGACGATGTCGTGTTTCTGTTTGGTTATGTTCGGGTATGTCTGTGAGTACTTTCTGCTTGTCTTCAAACATCTGCCTGGAGAGGGACATGCCCGACCTAAAGCTAGCGGCGCAGTAGGAAAACCAACTGTGGGAGGGCGTGGTCCGTGGCCAAACTACTACTTGTAGGAGCGCGTGGTTTGTGTTTTTGTCCCACCACTCGCTGTGTCGTTTTCATTCGATGCGTTCGCAGATTTGAAATGTAGGAAACGGTGTCTCGTGATTTCCTACATGTTGTTCTGCGTGAGCTCGGTGTCACAAAGACAGTATTCCCAAACGCACCGTTAACCAAGCACGCCGTCAGCGCGGCCTTGGTCTAAGCCTCCTGGATGGGGTCCGAGTGGATGGGGTCGTAGGATCGCGCCGCATCGCCGATGCATTGGCGATGCGGCTCGATGCGGATCCCGAGTTTCCCCACGCCGACGTCGCCGATGCGGCGCGATCCTCCAACCCCATCTACTCTGGCCCCATCTGGGAGGCCTCCTCTTGTCCACGCGCAGGGGTAGGGGGAGGGGGGAAGGCTCCTTGGAAGCACCCCTGCTTCGGAGAGTGCGCGGGCATTACCTTTTCAAATGGAGGGCCGGCGCCCTCTAAGAACCAGCCTCCTTCCAAGATCGACAACACGTAAGCGTGACCCTTCGTCAAAGTGGCCTGTGATGCGGGCCCACCGGGGTCCCCCGATGGCCGAACGCGATGCGGTAGTAGCGTCTTGCGCGCCTGCGTTTGGCCCCCCCGCAGCCCCCCAAAAAGCAGCGCACCGAAGGTCACTTTTTCCCAGGGTCACCCCCCCTCCCCCTGCCCCCTTCTGCGCGCCGCCAGTATTCCCTGTGGAGGCCCTCCCAGGAGCCGCCAGGAGCCGCCAGGACAGCCTTAATACATACTCGAAAGCCCTTCATAATCGTCCCCAGGGTTTGGTTTTTTTGAGAGGCGCCTTCTTTGGAAGCAGGGGGGTCCGGTTTATCAGGGCGCTCCCCTTGAACCGGAGACGAGAGGCGTCCGGCATATGAAGGCCAACCGATGACAGGGGGATACAGAAAATTAGGTTGCCGTTGACGGGGGGGTCCGGTTTTTTAGGGGCGGTCGATGATTTATGGACTTCGGGTACCGCTGCCGCCGTGCCCCTCGGCCGCCAGTGCGCCGAGGGTTCACCCCGAAGGGCCCGGGCAGAGCGCGCCCCGGGGGAGGCCCGGGGAGCAGCGGCGGGCCAGCCTCCCAAGGGGGGTGCAGGCAGGCGGGGAGCGCCCCCAAGGGCGCGAAGCTGCTCGCGTTCCGCGCTTCGCGCTGCGGCTCCGATTCCTCCTCATCCTCCCCCTCTCTCCTGGGGGCCGGCGCGAGAGCGCCGTGTCCTTCGCGCCACGCGAGGCGCGAAGCGAGGCGCTCTTGCAGGTGGGGTGATGCATCGGCGACGCGGCTCGATGTAGGACAGATCTTCTCCACGTCGACGGCCAAGGATTGCACAAAAAAAAAAATTGCACAAAAAAAACCCAAAAAAACCCCACAAAAAAACCCCAAAAAACCCCAAAAAACCCATCGCCGATGCCGCCGATGCATCGCAGTTGCATCAGCGAGGCGCTGGCGAGGCGGCGCGATCCCTCGACCCATCTGTGCGGACCCCATCTATCCGCGTCAGAGGCGTCGAACGGCACGAGCAAGTACCCCAAAAGGACCCGTCTATGCGAGCAACAGCTCGAACTCTTATTACCTCAGAAAAGACTTGAGCGAGAGGAGGAGGTGCGAAGAGGTGCGGAAAAGTTAGGAAACCCTCGCGGGCCCAGAGCATTGTCGGGTATCCGGAGGGAAAGAAACACACAGACACAGTTCATCGTCGACTCCCAGGAAAACATGGGAAAATATAGGGGGAAGACGACAACCTAGAAAATATGGGAAACTATGGGGAATCCTGTTATCTGTGTCTATTTGTGTGTGTGTGTCCCTGGGCCCCTTCAGGGTAATCTCTCTCGTCGTCCCCGTCGGCTTAGTGGGTCCCGGAAATGGCAGGGCCGTCTTTTCACCGTTTCCGAACAAGTGTCCCTTGAACATGGAAACGGCAGAAAAACGGCGACCGGAAACGGCAACAAAAACGGCTCCAGGATTGGAACTGGAGCGGGAACCCGTAAAAGAACGGCGACGGAACCGGTAAACAAACGGCGTCGGAAGCGGCAAAAAAGCGGCAAAACGGAACCGGTAAAAAAACGGCCCTGTCGTTTCCAGGGCCCGCTAAGCCCTCGGCCCCTCCTGGAGCGACGCGCCGAGAGGCGACTTGGGTTCGGGACGGGCGGGCTCAACCCTGCAAGAACGGTTTTTTGAAGGCAGATCTGCCTTCAAAAAGCTCTGTAAGGGCGGTTTTTTGAAGGCAGATCTGCCTTCAAAGAACCATTTTTTGAAGGCAGATCTGCCTTCAAAAACCCATTCTTACAGAGTAGGCGCCCCAACCGAGCGAGCCGTCTCTCCCGGCGGGCGGCGGGCCCGCGGCCGCCCGCGCCTGCGGGAGAGGGCTGCCTGGGCGAGGCCACCGCGGACGCTTTGGGGTTTGGGTAGGAGGAGGAGGAGGAGGAGGGCCAAGATGTGTAGGAGGAGGAGGAGGAGAAGGAGGAGGAGGAGGAGGAGGAGGAGGAGGAGGAGGAGGAGGAGAGCGAGGAGCAGGAGGAGGAGGAGGAGAAGCTAGGACCGGAGAAGGAGGAGAGGAAAGAGGAGGAGGAGGAGGAGGAGGAGGAGGAGGAGGAGGAGGAGGAGGAGGGGGAGGAGGGGGAGGGGGAGGAGGGGGAGGAGGGGGAGAGGAAGGGGAGATTCTGGAGTCTCTGCCGGTTCGCGTAGCGGTCTTAGTATCACTCCTGTCGCCACCCCTGAGTTCCGGACACGCGAGGAAGGAGAAGCCCCATATGTCCCTTTTGCTACGAGGTGAATGGAAGAATCTTAACCACCTGCGCATATAGTCAAACGGCTGGGTTCCTGGGCAGCACAAGCTATAGTCGCTTCACCCAGTTTTTTATACGCGGTGGTTTCCTCAGCAAAGCCAAACAAACAGTGAGGGTGTCCAGGGACACGACGTTTATGCGCCCAGGCGGTGCGCGGGTGGGCAAGTGCACCATCATGCTCCCCCCATCGTCCGCACCGCCTGGAAACCAAGAAGCCAACACACGACATTGAGTTAATGTCTGTGGATGGCCCCCCCAATCGCCGATCATCACTTGCCACACGATGGGTGAAACACGTGCTAGGGGAACAACAAGACAAAGTCCATGTAAACAACACGTAAAAGTGGCACAATCCCCACCACCAGCAATATTGAACTTAATGTATGAGGGCACTTGAAGACACCACGACAAGGAGGTAACTGCACCACCAATGACACTTCAAGCTGTCCTGCCCAACGCTTAGTCTTTCCTTGCCCACATGGAAAGATACCCGACAGTGCTCTTCCCCCAAATTCCAGCCCTGATGCCCCCCCAACCGCCACGTGGAGGCGAAATACTCGATTCAAAGCGCCATCGCAAAAAAGCTAAGATGCTCTGTACGGAGACGCCTCGGAACGATGCTTGAGGGAGAGGAGGAGGAGAAGGAGGAGGAGGAGGAAGAGGAGGAGGAGGAGGAGGAGGAGGAGGAAGAGGAAGAGGAAGAGGAGGAGGAGGAGGAGGAGGAGAAGGAGCAGGAGGAGGAGGAGGAGGAGGAGGAGGAGCAGGAGGAGGAGGAGGAGGAGGAGGAGGAGGAGCTGGAGGAGGAGGAGGAGGAGGAGACGAAGGATGGTCGAAGAACCCACAACATACAAATCTCAATATGTCGCTGCTCTGCCCCCAGACTTTTCGGACCAACGCCAGGTCCCCCTGGCCGCCCCTCTGGCGCCGCCCCCTGGCGGGCGCCGCGCGTCGGGGGGGGTGGGGGGCAGCTCCGATCCAGGAGATTTGCGAGGATCTCTGGAAGCGTACGGATATACATCTGCGTCGCCCCAACATGCTTATACTATATGTGTGTCGCCCCGCCGGGGGCGATGCGCGCACCGAGAAATGTTATAGAAGATGCGTCGTGGCGGACGCTTTCTGGCCACATTGCTCGGGAAACGATATATGAAAAGATGGGTATACTAAATGTTTGGGTCGGACGCGCGCCTTTAAGGAGAACGTATAGTATTAGTATGTCTTTTTGCGTCCCAATACAGTCAAGCCGAACAGTCAGGATGAGCAACTTCCCAAGGTTGCTCGTGCATCTTCTCCTTCGGCCCATCCTTGGCCGCCCTCGCTGGCTGCGCCCCGCTCGCAGACTGCCGACATGGCATTCAAGGTCTATGCCTCCGTGTCGTGCGTCCTTATGATACAGGTTGGTTGTCAGCACTCTTTCTTGTTCTGGGGGCGGAATTTGAGCAGAGGAAGCGGGTTTTGCAAGTCGCGAGTTGTGCATCTCCACTCCGGCTTGGCGTTTCCACTTGCTCCGCTTTCCGGAGGAAGGCTCCGCAGCTTGCCTAGTCTGCCTGCCTCCATGCACATGCTTATTGACGCCCTCCCTGTCCTCTTGCTCCTTTCATCGGTCTCATCATCTCTCATTGCCCGTACGCGTCGTCCTTCCTCAGGACGAGCGGACGAGCGAGGAGGAGGTGGCACCCGCGTCCCTTGTGGATATTGCATCAGGCAGCGTGACACGTAGGAACAAGGATACTGACGCTCTCCTACATCTCGTCCTGCTCTCCGCCCTGCACCCCTTTCGCATTCATCATCCGCTTCCCGCTCTTCTTCCTTTGCCTATCCTCCTCCGCCCCCTTCTCAACATTATCCTCGTGCCTCTCTGTTTCTCTTCAGGGTAGCAGCGCCGCGGTGTGAGATAACGTTGGCAGGCGCCATCCGCAGAAGTGCTCACTCCATCACATGGCTTCTGGATGGGGCAGAGGTGTTCAGCAGGGAGCAGGGGAGCAAGCGGAGCTGTCGATGACGAGGTGGTTGAGCCGGGAAACTGCGGGAGGATGAAGGGGATGGGGGAGGATGCTCGGGCCGAACGAGAGGGGATAGGGAAAGGGGGGGGGACGAAATCTGCTGCATGCAGCTGGTTTCGGCCCCACCGAGGGGCCCGTGTCTCTATACATAGGCGCCTCCCGGCGCCAGGTCCCTACGTGAGCTGATTCTCACCCCCCCCCCTTTGCTATCCCCCCCTTTCGCCCAGCGCGAAGGTAGTTGACTAAGGAGGGCGAAGACGGTGGGGAGGATAATGGTGATAAGGGAGGAGCATGGTAATGGGCAGGAGCAGCGGGGTGCGAGGATGACGAATAGGAGGAGGGGTAATGTTGTGGAGTGGTGGAGGAAAAAGCAGAGCAGGAGGAGGAGGAGACTCAATGAATACTGATGCTGAGTATGATGATTATGATGATGATGCTGACTATGATGGTGACGTTGATGATGATGATAACGATGATGATGACGTTCATAATGATGATGGCGATGGTGATGCTGATGATGAGTATGATGGTGGTGGTGCTGCTGCTGCTGATGATGAGGATCATGATGATAATGACGAGGAGAAGGAGGATCATGATGATGTTGATGCTGATGATGATGCTGATGATGCTGCTGTTGATGCTGATGATGTTGATGATGTTGCTGATGCTGCTGATGATGATGATGATGATGCTGATGATGATGCTGCTGATGATGATGATGATGGTGATGGTGATGATGATGGAGATGGTGATGATGAGGAGGAGGAGGCCGCAACTGATCACACTGAGCGGTAATAATATGATCGCCAGGTGCGGCTAGGGAGGAGGAGGAGGAGGAGGAGGAGGAGGAGGAGGAGGAGGAGGAGGAGGTAGAGCAGGCAGAAGTGGCCAACGGATGGGTGACTACGGGGGAGGACGAAGAGGAGGAGGAGGAGGAGGAGGAGGAGGAGGAGGAGCAGGAGGAGGAGGAGGACCAGGGGAGGAGAGGGGGGAAGGCAGAGGGGAAAGATGAGGTGCAAAGCCTGGGCGTGCTCACCTCGCCGTCCCCTTCCTCCCCTCGCGCTCCCCTCGGCCTCCCAGCCCTCGGGCGTGCCTCCCCGTCCCCCGGCAAAATCGGCCGGACAGGGCTCCTGGGGCAGAGGCTTGGGGAGGGGCAGCTACAGTCAAAGCCGATGATAAGGATGGGGAATTGTCCCGAGGGTGCCGTTGCAGCCTTGCCTCTTCGGTCCATCCTTAACCATCTTCGATGGCACGTCCCGCTCGAAAGGCTTCGACATGGGCTTCCAAGTGGCTTGCACTCTTACCGCGCATCCTCACTACAGCCGAAACCGACGGTAAGGATGGATCCCCTTCCCAAGGGCACCCTTGTATCCGTGCCTCGTTGGTCCGTCCTTGACTTGGTCCCTCGATCGCCCGCCGCGCTCGAAACAGCTTCGGCACGCGCGTCCAAGGGGCTTGCACCCTTCTCGCGCATCCTTGCGATCAAGCTCGACAACATCCTGCATGCCTCAAGGCGCGCCCCTCGGCGCTGCCGCAGCGGCCCGCCGCCGTGGCGGCTGCCCTGGGCACGGGGGAGCGAGGCGATCCGGGGCCGCAGGGAGAGGCACGAGCGCGCCCTGCGGAAGCAGCGGTCGGAGTGACGGGCCTCCCCGGACCCGCTCGCGCCGTGGCAGAGAAGCGCGACGGGCAGTTTGTGCGCGGTTTCGGCCTCCAGGGGCCCTCGCCGGGCCCCAGGACCGTCGAGAAGCAGATCGGAAGGAAAGACCGGCCCCGAGGCGCCTGGAGGCCGAGAAGAGCGCTGGGGAGCAAGACCAGGGGGCGATCTCTTGAGGATGGCTGCGGTCGCGGGAGATTTTTCTCCCCCAATCCCCGAGCTCCGCCCGCAAAGTTTGGCCGCTCAGAAGCAGGGGGGAAGCCCTGGGGTCCACCCTGAGGGGGCTATTCGGACGCACCCCCCCGTCGAGGACGGTCGCCCCCCCCCCGATCGTACATCCCAGGGGTGGGGCCCATTCGAAAAACCCCACCAAGCCTGGGATAGGGCGTCGATCCCCTGTTGTACGGCGAGGGAGGCGGGGGGCGGCCCTGGAAGCGTCCAAGACCTTCTACCAGAGGAGCAGTCCAACACGCCCCAACATGCCTGCGGCACGGTGGCGGACAGTGAGCACGAGTGGGTCACGAGACCCTGGTCTCGGGGGGTAGGAGGAATTACGAAGTCAGCTTGCACGAATGAGGAGACCATGTCCAACCAGTCGGTCGCCAGCGTCTTCCTGATACTTAGCAAAGTCATCCTCATCTTTTCACTCCCCCTATAAACCTCCAACCCCATCCCTCCCGCCCTCCTCCCCTCCCTCCTCTCACAAAGGTTCTTCGCATGTCGAGTCGACGTCCTGTCAGGCGGCACAACTTCCGCACAGGACGGAAGGGCCTGAACGTGCAGCGTCAGCTGGTGGTGAGAAATCCGTGGCCCCCTTTATTGAGCACCTGCCTACCTACCTACCTACCTACCTACCTACCTACCGACCGACCGACCGACCGACCGACCGACCGACCGACCGACCGACCGACCGACCGACCTACCTACCTACCTACCTACCTACCTACCTACCTACCTACCTACCTACCTACCTACCTACCTACCTACCTACCTACCTACCTCCTCAGCGTTCTTCCTCGAACCGTGGCCGTGGCGTGCCGCTGCTGCCACCTCACGAAGGACACGCCTCCCCAGAATTCCCTGCCCTGCACGCAGAGCTACAACAGCACCTGCGCCGCTCGGCACGTTTTCAGGCTCCCCGCGGACCTGTCCAGCGGCGCTGGGCCGCGCAGCGCCCAGCCAGACTCTACGCCCCCCCACGGCGACGTTCGAGTTCGATCCTCCTCCTGCTGACCCCCTCCCTCCCTTCCTCCCTCCCTGCCCTGCCCCCCCCCCCCGCTTCCCACCCACGGGCAGGTGGAGCGTGCCTCCGACTCTGAGGTGGAGGAGCGCGCCGCGCGCCCAGTCCCCCGAGCGCCCCCCCCCCCGCGCGCCCCCTCCCGCGGCGCGCACTTGCTTCGCCACCGGCAGCTGGAGCCAAGGAGTCGGCAGAGAGCCGAGGGATGCAAGGGGATGCGCGCGAGCCGAATTACAGTCGGACCGAGGTATAAAACATCGAGGTCGGTCCGGGGAGGTGCCCTCTTGCTCTTCGTGTTTGTTGGATGTTCTTGTGCATCCACGGGGAGTGTGCCCTCGAGTATTATCCAGCTTGGCCGGCGGATGGTCTCATGTTCTCGCCGACATTCGCGCGAGGTCACGCGTGAGTGCCCTCTCCTTCCGGTGTAGCGTGCCGCGCTGGCGGCCCGCGTAAGCTGCGGCGTAACGTCGCTATGGCATCTCGCGCAAGACCTGTTGTTCATCGTCGCCCAATGGGGCGCAACGGAAAAACGGAAGGGGCGGGGGGTGGGTGGAAGACCCGCGGCGCGCACACGAGAGGGTGGGGAGGGGGGGGGCAACGGAGAGCCTCCTGCGTAAGCTGCGGCGTAACGTCGCTATGGCATCTCGCGCAAGACCTGTTGTGCATCGTCGCCCAATGGGGCACAACGGAAAAACGGAAGGGGCGGGGGGTGGGTGGAGGGCCCGCGGCGCGCACACGAGAGGGTGGGGAGGGGGGGATGCAGCTGGGAACGTCTCGTTCCGAACTCTTCCCCTGAGAACCGGGCATTGCACCTTTCTTCACACCGAGCACGTTCGCGCAGTTTTTCGGGCCCCTAGGCCCTCGCAGACCGATCCGGCACGGAACATGCAGCGGAAAGATGGGTTTACGGGGTCTGGTCGAGTTGTGTTCGCGATGTTATCATTTTCGCAAAGTCGGATCTCAGGAAACATGTTCTTGCCGATCCTATCGCTCCTCCCTTTTCTCCTGCTTCTCCCCATCCCCCCTCCGTCTTCTCCCCTTGTGGCGGCTGGGGGGTGTCCTTGTGGCGCACGCAGCGGCGTGAGGCCATCACCTGCAACGCTTCAAGAGCCTACCTCGCAGGCGCCAGGATCAGAAAAAGGCACAGGCAGATCGGCACATCGGCAGGCACAACAAACAATGGTTCAACCAGCCTCTCTCCTCTTCTCTTCTCTCATCCTGCCATCTGCCTCCTCCTCCTGCGCTGCTCCCTGGATGGCTGCGAACTGCGCAACTGACGCCACGTTCGTGGGATCCTGGGATGCACGGCGGAGGTGAGGGCAGCGGGGATCCATTTGAGACCCCGCGGCTCCGTGGGGGGCTGCGAAGTGCGCAATTGCCGCCATGTTCGTGGGCTCCTGGGAGGCACGGCGGAGGGACGTCTAGGGGGATCATAATGAGACCTTGCCGTCTCTGGGGGGCTGCGATCTGCGAAACTGTCGCCACTGCCGCGGGCTCTTGGGAAACCCAGCGGAGCGACGTCTTACGAGGATCAATGTGAGACCTTACCGTCCCTGGGGGCTGGGATCTGTGATACTGTTGCCACGTTCGTGGCGACGTCTTACGGGGTTCTGAAAGAGTCCTCGCAGTCCCTGGGGGATGGGGAATTCGCGAAATTGTCGCCACTTGGATGGGCGCCCTGGAGGCCCAGCAGTGCGACGTCTTACGAGGATCAGATTGGAACCTCGCCGTCCCTGGTGGGGGGTCGGCATCTGCGAAATTGTCACTACGTTCGTGGGCTCCTGGGAGGTCCAGCGGAGTGGCGCCCCGCGCAGATCATTGTGAGACCTCGCCGTCTTTGAGGGGCTGGGATCGTACTTTCGTGGGCTCCTGGGAGGCCCATCGGGGCAGCGTCTTACGGGGATCAGAATGAGACCTCGCCGTCCCTGGGGGCTGCGTTATGTGAAACTATCTCCACTTTCGTGGGCTCCTGGGAGGCCCAGCGGAGGGAAGTCTTACGGGGATCATCATGAAACCTTGCCATCCCTGGTGGCTGCGATCCGCGAAGCTGTCGCTACTTCAGTGGGCTTCTGGGAGGCCCAGCAGAGTGATGTCCCACGCAGATCAGAGTGAGACGTCGCCGTCCCTGGGGAGGCTGCGACCTGTGAAACTGTCGTCACGTTCGTGGGCTTCTGGGCGGCCCAGCGGAGCGACGTCTTACGGGGATGTGAAAAACACCTCGCCGTCCCCAGGGGCTGCGAACTGCGAAGCTGTCGCGAAGCGTTCAAGGGCGTCACGACCGCCAAGTTAAAGGATGCCAGACACGTACACACATTGGGCGTACATGTGGTCGATAAGACCCGCTGAAACCATCTTCGTTAACAGTCGCCTCCACTGTCACGCCAGGAGCCCAAGAACTTTGGAGAGCAATGTGATAGATCGGCGGTCCAGCGGACCTGCTGAACGCATTCCTTTGCATGTGCCCTTCACCCAGTACACATGGGTCATTTCTAGTTATTCGAAAGTTCTTTGATTGCTTTGGGGGCCAAGATCCTTTCATTTTTAATTGTTCTATCCTGGGCCTCTTCCTGGCCACTTGGGGGCCAGGAACAAGTAGAAACGAGCACAACTAGAAATGAGCACGATTAGAAATGAACGACGCGTAGTCGTCTGCCACAGTTGGTGTTCGAACTCTGTTTGTGTGTGGAATGGCGTCGCGATCGCAATGCTCGAGATCTGCCTTGCCTCTAATGGCGGGCACCCACGGCTTTCTCTGGTAACTTAACCGTTCGCACCGCTGGAGGCCCGTCGGGCCCGCAGCAAGCGTCACGGTGTGCAGTGATTTTCTGTTGTCGCCCCAGGTTCGCGACGGGCGCCAGCGGTCCCCGGACAGCAGTGTGAACGATCAGGGGTCATCGGACCCGCTGGGCGCATCAACGTTTGTTGCCGCCTGTCTCCCAGTCGCCTTTGCAGCATGCTGCTTCGGGACTGCTACTTGTGATTTGCATGGCATCCCCACTCAAGGCGCACTCTCCCTCTCTCGCGCGCGAGACACATTCGAGGACATTGGGAGCAATTCGCGTCGCCAGCGGCCCGTCTGAAGCGCTGGCAAGCGTGCGGCCCCTCAGAACCGCTGAACCGCTGAACTTCCAGACGAGGGTTTCACAGGCGGACAGGGCGCTGCACTCGGCGTTGTGGTGCCTGACGCAAGTCTTCGACCGTGTGTTGCACACATTGGGGCCGAGGTGTAAGATCGAGGTCGGTTCGGGGAGGGTACCCTAATGTTCTTCGTGCTTGTCGGATGTTCTTGTGCATCCTTGCGAGGATACCTTGGGATGTTCTGTGTGCTTTGGCCAGCAGAGGTTCTCATGCTCTTGAGGGATGCTCTGCTGGCCTAGGTCCGACTGTAGGGTTGACCGGCAATCACGCGCGAGTTGCTGCAGCGGGTCTTTGGTACGTGCACGACATGCTGCGTCCTGAGAGAGGATCATGGTCCATGCCCGCTCCTGCTCCTGACTTCAACGCGCGCTCCCACTCATCTCTCCGGCCCTTGCCTGCTCGCAGGTGCCCTCGCCCGCGCCCGGGCCCCTTTTGGGGGTTTGTCAATCTTGCGCAACTCTTTTGTCCTCCGTTCTCCTTCTGCTCTCCTCCGAGTGCCCGCCTCCTCGCCTCGCTCCTCACTCCCCCTGCCTGCTGCCCACCTGCGCACGCCCCCAACCTGCTAACTACAGCCTCCTTATCCTGCCCCTGCTCCTGCTCATCCTCCCTCTCCTGCAGCAGCTCGTCATCGTAGTCCCGCTTCTCCTCACTCATACACCTGATCCGCCCCCTCTCCTCTCTTAGCCTGAATGTTGGATCCTACTTCTCGTCGTCCTTCTCCTCCTCCTCCTCCTCCTCCTCCTCGTCTTCCTGCTCCTCCGCTTCCTCAGCTCCCACCTCCATTCCTCCTCCTCCTCCTTATCCCACCGCACCTTCTAATTATACTTATGATGCTCCTCGTGGTCATACTCATCCTCCTCCTCCTCCTCATCATCATCATCAGCACCATCACCACCACCATTCATCATCCTCCTCCTCCTCGTCATCATCATCATGCTCCTTCTCCTCCTCCTCCTCCTCCTCCTCCTCCTCCTCCTCCTCCTCATCATCATCATCATCATCATCATCATCATCATCATCATCATAAGCAGCATCCTGATCATCAGCATCATCGTCATCATTATCAACATCATCATAATCAGCAGCAGCAGCATCCTCATCTGGATCCTCGTCCTCTTCCTCCTCCCCTTCCTCCTCCTCCTCCTCCTCCTCCTCCTCCTCCTCATCATCATCATCATCACCACCATCATCATCATCATCTTCATCAGCATCAGCATCACCAGCATCATCATCATCATCATCATCATCATCATCATCATCACCATCACCATCATCATCATCATCATCATCATCATCATCATTTAGGAGCTCCTGACCCCCTCAGACGCGGGGATCATCATCAGCATCATCATCATCGTCATCATAATCATTATCATGCTCGTGATCATTATCAACATTCTTGTCGTCATCCTGGTCGTCGACGCCCTGATCATCCTCATCGCCCCCCCCCTACTCTCTGCCCCCCTCCCCCGCTCGCCCTCCTCCCCCCCCCCCCCCAAGACGGTCCCTCGCCCCCTCCCCCCCTGGCTCCTCCCCTCCCTCCCTCCCTCCCTCCCTCCCTCCCTCCCTCCCTCCCTCCCCTGCCCACACCCCCGAAGACGATCCCCCCCCCAGAGGCTCCATTCCTTCCCTGCTGCGCCGTGCCCCGCCCCCGGGCTCCGGAGCCGCGGCAGAGCCCCCCCGGGGAGGACGACACCTTCCCGCCAGCGAGGTCGCCCCTGCTGTCGCCACAGAGGTCAGCCCCGTCGCTGTCGCCGTCGCTGTCGCTCTCGCTGTCGCCTCCTCCTCCTCCTCCTCCTCCTCCTCTCCTCCTCCTCCCTCCTCTTCTCCTTCTCCTCGTGCTCCCTCCTCATCCTCCTCCCTCCTCCTCCTTTTCCTCCTCCTCCTCCTCCTCTTCCTCCTCCCTCCTCCTTCTCTTTTCCTCTTCCTCCTTCTCCTCCTCCTCCTCCTCGTGCTCCTCCTCCTCCTCCTCCTCCTCCTCTCCTCCTCCTCCTCCTCCTCCAACGCCTCTTCCGCCCTCCTCCTCGTCCTCCTCCTCCTCCTTTTCCTCCTCCTCCTCCTCCTCCTTGTCACTGGCATGACGGATAGAGAGTTGTTGGTGTTACGACGTGCTCTCGTCCCGTTCCGAGGAGGCTCGCTACCCGCTCGCATGCTCTTGTATGATGACCCAGCGTGGAAGGTAGCAGTGGCGCCCGTCATTCAATATTCCAAGGCAGTATGGAACTCGATTGTGCAGCCCGATCGGGTGGTATTATCGTGGAGGTTCTTGCAAAAAACGTGGGATGCTGTAGCCTTGAAGTTTCCAGTCTTGCAGCAGTCGCAGTGGAACAAGAGTGCTGGTCCCATTCACCGTGCTATGTTGTGCTTGCATCGCCTAGGATGGAAGTTCACCAACTTCAAGACCTTCTTCGATGACAACCAGATAGAGCATGATTTGTTTTTCACCTCTCCTGCCTTGCTTGCCAAGCAGTTGCATGCTAGTGTTCTCCGCCATCATGCCCGTAGCTTTGCTGCCACTCTTCCTCAGGGGCAGGGACAGGAGGTCTCCGCTGATTTGATTGTCAAGGCTGTCCGTTCTAAGAAATTCTCGGCGCTGCAAAAGCATGTGGTCGCCTCTGTCTTTGCTGGTGGCATGTGGACCGAGGACCGCCTTGTGCAGCATGGCTTTGTATCCACAGGTCTCTGCCCCTTGTGCTCGCAGCCCGATTCAATTCATCATCGTCTCTGGTGCTGCCCTGCTGTGGCCGCTGCTAGGGAAGAGGCGACGTCGGGAGAGATTGTAGCAGATGCGCGTGATGAGCCCGGAGATCTCCTGTGGTCCAGGCTCCTGGTGTTCCAACCTCGCCCCGATGAGTTCCCTCCTCCCTCCTCCGAGGTGTTTCCTGTCTTCCAGGATGCCCAGGGCAACCCTGTGTCCCAGGAGACTTTCCAGGAGCTCAGCGCGGGATGTGATGTTTGTGTTGACGGTAGTGCGACTCGAACTGAATTCACCCGTCTCAACCGAGCGGCTTATGCCGCGGTCTTTCTAGAAGATTCTGACCAGTGTGAAGTTCGATGTAGGATGCAGGGTGTGGTGTGGGAGTCCCTACCGCAGACGGCTCCGTCGGCCGAACACCTTGCCCTTGCCATGCTTTCCATCTTTCAGCGGGGCCCAGGGACCACCAGGCCGTTTTCCGATTGTTTGGGTGCTGTGCGTTTGACCCAAAAGCCTGACCCCGCCCAGCTGAACGGCTCCCAAGTTTTTGCTGGCCTGCGCCGTGGCGCGCTCCAGCATCCAGGACACACACATATTGGGCACGTTAGTCATACCCGTGCCCATCGCTCCGAAGAAGTCATCTCTGCGCTCCCACCTGCTGAGGAAAGGATCGCGCGTGGCAACCAGCTGGCCGATCTGTTGGCCAAGGATGCCCTCTCCCTCCACCCCCGTGCCCCTCCCGCCTCCTCCGAGTTGCATGGGCTTATGGTCAAACGCCTCCGCGCCGCCATCCGTGTGGCGGCGGCGGTCCTGCCTGCTTTTCCTCTCCCATCCTTTAAGAAGATCAAGGTGCCGAGCATAACGCGGGTTGTGTCGTGGCACGAGTGGTGTCGGGTGGGTAGTTGGAAGTTGCGTTGTGCTCGGTGCCTTGGGGCGTGCCCTGAGCATGACGAGCGCCCCCTCAATCAGTGCCCAGGCCCCCCTCCGCTCCTTGTAAAGCTGCGTGAGTGTGAAGGGGTGGGCGGCCACGTCCTGAGAGCGTGCTGGACGGCACGTGATCAGGTCCTAGTGTATTGTTGTAAATGTGGGGCCTATGCGGAGGAGAGGTCTAGTGGGGCCCTCTTTAAGCCTTGTCGCCCCGCCTCGACGCCCCAGCGGGCGTATGACCGACGGCGCCTGGAGGCAGGGCTGCACCCGCACTCGCGTCGACGCGAGGAGACCCTCCAGGCGCCTACCCCTCTCGAATCCGACCTCATTCGGCGGGTGGTGGGTGGGACGGCTGGGTGGGCTGACGTCTCCTCCTCCTCCTCCGTCACCACCGCACTCATTCGGAATCCTCGAATGGATGCGCTTGTGGCCCGATTGCAGGCCAAGTTTTGGCAGTCGTCGACGGGCTCGTAAGTCCTGCTCGGCTCGGTTCGGATTCGAGTTTTGCCGCCTTTGGCGTGTCGGATCCGCTCCTCCGTGCCGTGCAGGCTGCCCGTCGCCGTACCGTTGACGTTCCTTCTTGTTTGGGCTCCTCCTCCTCCTCTTCCTCCTCGCTGGTGCCGTCGCCGTCGCCGATGTTGTTGCTGCTGCTGCTGCTGCTGCTGCTGCTGCTGCTGCTGCTGCCGCTTCCCCTGAGGGAGGGCCCTGATATTATTTCCTCGCACAGGCTGGCACCTGCGTCGTGCTTCGCCACGCGGCAAGCCAGGACATGGTATAAGGCCCCCTGGCGTGGAGCACTGCGGGCTCCCGCTTGGACCCTCCCGCCCCCCCGCGTCTCCGGCTGCGGCCGCCACGAGCCTTGTGAGGTCGCTGATGCGCACACGGCCCCCCTTGAGGACTTCTCCTGTGGATCCTGGAGCCCGTCGGCGTTGGGCCTTTCGAGGCGAGCCCTGCCGTGGCGGCGGGGGCTCTTCGGGGTGCGGTGTCGGACCGAGGGCGTCCTCAGAAGCGCCCTTCAAGAACCGGCCTGGATCCGTGCACTCTGCGGCCCTCCCGAGGGTCCTCGCGGGGGTGATCTCTCTGGGAGCGCTGCGTGGCTGTCCGTCGTGGGGGCCCTCTAAGAGCACTCCCTCCCCTCGCCTGTCTTCCCACGGTGGTCGGAGCTGGGACCGGCCAGGGCCTCTGCAGGGGTCGCCTGCTGCCCGGCAGCTTCGCTGAAGAGGCCGTGCCCGCGGCCGCACACGCGACCCACAAGGATCCAACCAGCCAACCAATCCACCAACCGGCCCAGCCGGCCGGCCGCGCCCCCTCCGCGCTCCTCCGCCGGGCGCCCTCTCGCTTTCCGCCTCTCCTTCTCGTGCTCGTCCCCCTCCAGCCCTCCCAGCCCTCTTCCGCCCTTCTCCTCCTCCTCCTCCTCCTCCTCCTCCTCCTCCTCCTCCTCCTCCTCCTCCTCCTCCCACCCCTCTTCCGCCCTCCTCCTCCTATCCTCTTCCTCCTCCTGCTCCGCCCTCCTTGTACCCCTCTTACGCCCTCCTTCCCCTCCTCCTCTTCTCCTCCCCCTCCCAGCGGCGCCGCGGGTCCGTTTGCCACGGGCGCACCGTGGCCCGGAGCCGTTAGATTTCCCCGTCGCCCTTCAAACAGGGCGGCCCCCCCGGGAGTGGCCGGTTGCTTGAAGCGGCGGCCACCCCGAGGGGGGAGGATCTTCCGCGCCGGCAGCTCCCCGAAGGCAACCCGCGTGACAGTCGTCAAAGTACGGCTCTCGCGCTAGCGCCGTACGTAGTTGTACAGCTACATGGGTGGAGGCTTCTTGACCTCCAAGGGAAGAGCCGCGCGACGGCTGCTCGCTCGGAGGGTGGCTCTTTATCAAAAGGGAGCTCGCGCTTGAGACTCCTGTTGTGTTTACGGCAAGGTATAAGTCGGACCTGTCCCTCTACTGGACGAATTTCCCCAAATAGTCAAACAATAGTCCGGAGACAAGTTTTGCTTATTCTGGACAACTTTGGATCATTTGAAAATTTGTTCCTCCAAGATCCGCCTGTAGGGGGACATGCCCGATCTAAGGCAAGGGCTCTTGGACTCAGGAGGGGAAAAAAACACACAGACACAATTAATCACCGATCCCAAGGAAAAGATCGGAAAATATTGGAAATGTGGGGGAAGACGAAAATCCAGAACATATGAAACAATATCGGAAATATTGGTATGTGTGTGTGTGTTTATTTGTGTGTCCCTGGGCCCCGTCACGGACATGGGGCAACCCGTGCACTCGTGGAGGACAGGTTCTTTCCAAGCGGGGCATCCGTCTCGCTGGACACGCTCGTGAGCTTCATAATGCTACCTCTCCTGCTCCTGCTCCTGGTCCTCCTGCTCCTCCTGGTCCTCCTCCTCATCATCATCATCAGCAGCATCATCATCAGCAGCATCATCATCACCAACATCATCAGCAGCATCACCATCATCATTATCATTTGCGTTTTCTTTGCCAGCTCGACGAATAGAAATTTAATAGTTATTTGTCCAAACGGGTCTTGCCTGAGTGGCACACCTACGGGGCACTCGCCATTCGAACGGAGCTCTTCCCGCAGCGGACGGGATTTGGCAGGGAGTTCCCAGGAGGGGACTCGGGACGGAAGGGTGTGCTGCAGCATTGCTGACGCTTCCTGGTTCTGCTCTGGTACTCCTCCTCCTTCTCGGGCTCCAGCTGATGGCATTAGATCCGATGACGCGGTGCTCTCAGCCCCCCCCCAAACGGACTTCGCTGCCGGGGTGTGAACACACAAAAACGAGTGGCAGAACGCAGAGAGTGGTCCCGCACCCTGTGGGCGCCGTCTGCGCTTGGTCAAGCGGGGCTGGGCCAGGCCACAAGCTTGCACTCCTCTTCCTCCTCCTCCTGGTCCTGCTCTTCCTTCTCCTCCTCCTCCTCCTCCTCCTCCTCCTCTGCCAGCGGTGGTGTTCTCGTTGACGCTTGGATGCTGCGTGGTCGCAGCATCGAACTTGCTACGCGAGCTCGTCCTCGGGGTTGGCAGCATTGAGACCAGAGGTGTGCCTCCTCCACTCCAGTGCCCACTCATCCACTCCTCTCTCCGTGGACACCCCGATCGAGCACGACGTAAAGTGCCAGCTGGGGTTATATCGTGGTCTCGGCTGTCCGGGCCCGGTGAGGGAGGTGGGCCCTGCTCGACCTGTTGGCATGCCGGAGCACCCAATGCTCTCTGCAAACGGTCCGAGCTACGACGCCGAGCCTGGTCCCCGTGCCCCCACATCCCCCACCCATCCTCACATGCCAGCCCACACCCGTCCCACAAGAGGAGAAGAGCAAGAACACATCAGCGAGAAGGAGAGAAGGGACGGTCGGCAGGGAGGTGGCGATCCCAGGCTGTCGCTCAGGGACCCCAAGCATCCAGCCGTTCTCTTAATCAGCAACGGCTCACCACTGGCGCGAGAAGAATCACCGTGGGCAGTGGGAACGGAGAAGCTGCAAGAGAAGCCATTGAATTTGCGGGTTTGGAGATCGCGTTGAGGGTCCTGGCTGGCAGTTGAGTTGCCGTTTGCCTAGCGCTTCGTGCAAGACATTTGGCTCGAGCGATACATGCTGGATGGTTACGGGTTTCCCTCGCACGATAGACGTGCGGAGTTGTTGCGCTTGGTTCTCGCCTTCTTGGCAAAGGGACTGCATGGCGCGGGCGATCTTTTCCTCCCTGGTCAAGGGAATCGGCCCACTGATTGACGATCGCGATGACGAGTGCTGATGCGCACGCTCGAGTCTACGGTATGCCTGTTACCCTCATGCCACCCCACAGGATGCCGCCCTTTCGAGGCGAATGCTCGATGGCCGACGTGGCAGCCCTACGGAAGCGAAGCGGACGATGCCTTAGCCGACGTGCTTCCATGTCGAGTCCGTCACGACGTGGGTTCCGAAGAAGTAGGTAAAAACATGAAGTAGGAAGGCGTTGGAAGTAGATTGGGCTTCCACCCGCCCCCTGAAGAGGAGGAAAGAAGGAAAACCGCTCGACTCTTGAAGTAGGAAGGCGCCTAAAGTAGATTAGGATTTGGGCATCCAAAAATACCTAACTTTCAACGACCGGCCATTTCCGTGATGATGCTGACGGTGGCGTGCGGGACGGAGCGGGCGCTGGGCCAAGGCATTGTGAAGCCAAGGGCGCTGCACGCGCCGGGGTCTTCTGCGGCCTGGCGCTCGGCCTCCGCCCCTGGCACTCGGCCTCCTCCCTGGGGTCAAAGACCGCTCCCCGAAGACCTCTCGCCGGCACTGGCCCCGTAGGCGTGCTCTCGGCGTATGCCCAGGTGGCCCCTTTCCCCGGGCATGCCCTCCACGGGCTCCCTCACAGGGCATGCGGTCACTCGGGGATCAGCGTCCGCCTCCTGCGCCTCTCTCCAGTTCTTAGTCAAGATGCCGGCGCTGATGGTGGCAATGACACTGGTGTTGGTGCCGGTGGCGATGATCCTGGCGGGGTTCGCGCGCGGCTGCGTCCCAGAACGCCCCCTGCGCGGCCGCCACGATGTCCGTGATTGACGGGTACCCAGACCCCCTCGGGTCATGAAAAAATGCGACGGGAGGTTTTTCCTTATTTTCGGCTTCTGGGGGCCCTCACCAGGCCTCGGGACCTTCAACAAACGACCCTGGAAAAACCGGTCCTGGGGAATGGGTCGAGACAATTTGGGGTAGACGTTATGGACAAATATTTGTTTTAAGTTTTCGATCATGTAACCTTTGCTAACGCGAAATATTCTGCTTTCACACCGATGACCGCTGGAAACTGCCGAAGACCGTGTCGGGCCGCCGTCCAAACCGCCGAAGACCGCCGAAGACCGCCGAAAGACCGCCGAAGACCGCCGAAGACCGTCGAAGACCGCCGAAAGGCCGCCGAATACCTCCGAAAGACCGCCGAAGACCGCCGAAAGAAACCCGAAGACCCCCGAAGACCGCCGAAGATCGCCGAAAGACCGCCGAAGACCGCCGAAGACTGTGTCGGGTCCTAACGCCCGCGGCGGGGCGCGCGCCCGCTGGCGGTCTTCGGCGGTCGATCGGCGGTCGTTAGAGGCCAAGGTGCGTGGCGAGGGGTCCATGATCGAACGCGTAAATTACGTCGGGGGTCTGGGTAAGCCACGTCAGGCCTGAAGGGGGGGGGACCGAGGAATGAGCACTCCGTTATCATTGCACCTCTCTTGCAGGCCGATGTTGGCAGGGGCGACGGCCGTATTGTCGACGTCGGCGCTGGGATGGGATGGGCTCGGGTCCAGTTTCCTGATGGCCTGGGAGGCCGCGCCTGTATGACATGGCAGTCTGGCGAGTTGCTGATGTCAGACCCGATGGCGTCGCCGTCCTGCACGTGGAGGTGCTCTCGCGGGGCCGCGGTCGACCCGATGTCTGCGCACGATCTGGTCGACCTTGGAGAGGTGCGGCTGGCCTTGGAGACGTGGCTGTTGCTGCCGATGCATGTTGGGGCCGCCTCGCGGTCGGGCACCCCGTCCCGTAACACTGCACACGTCGATGTCTGCGGACTCGATGGTCCTGCAGGCGGGGGAGGACGCGGCGGCGGCGCGGTGCGTCGCGGGCTCATCGGCCGACATCGCCAGCTGCCGCGCTTGGCCTGCCGTCTGCTGCGGGACCCCCCGCCCCTGTGTCGAGGGCCAGGCTGGGGGTCCGCGCCCCCGAGGCGGGCAACGGTTCCTCTTCCTCCTCCTCTTCCTGCTCCCCGCCGCCTCCTCCTCCTCCTCCTCCTCTTCCTCTTGCTCCTCCTCCTCCTCCTCATCATCATCATTATCATCATCACCATCATCATCCTTATCCTCATCCTCCTCCTCCGGAGTTCCGCGCGGATTTCTTGGGATCTGCGCTGGGCCCCCTTGGCGGGGGGTTTGGGCGGCCAAAAGGGGGGTGATGACTTGCGGGGGAGGGGGAATCATGGCGAGGGCTAAGTCGGGCCTGTCTCTCTACAGGGGGAATATCCAGAAATAGTCAAAACATATTTGGGGGACAATGTTTTTAATGTTGTTTGACCGTTTAGGGTATTGTTGGATATTGTTTTATCTTTCGTCGAAAATCCCCCTGTCGGAGGACACGCCCGACTTAAGGCGAGGGCCATGATGTCTCCCCATGGTGCCTGGAGCCTTCTCTTATGTGAACGCGTCCCCTGCCCCCCCTCGGGCCGCGCACGTGCCTCGGGCATGAGTTGTGCACCCCCTGTTCCCAAACCCCCGACGTCGTGATTTTGTCCACGACGTCGACGTCTGGACCCATTCCCCGCGACGGGCTTCTCGTCCTGACTCGTTTTTGAGGGTCCGGGGGCCCGGTGAGGGCTCCCAGGGGCCAAGGATAGTGACAACCCTCCGGTCGTGATTTTTTTCACAAGTGCGGTGCGGCGGCGCAGGTCCCCCGTCGTGAGGGCGCGGGGCTACGACAGCGGCCGCGGGAGCAGGCTCTGGCAGAAGGCGGGTGCCTTCCTCTTGGAGGACGAGGGAGCTGGGGGGAGGAGCGGGGAGGGGAGAGAGGCAAGCTAGGTGCGCTCGCGTCATATCTGACGTCCTACCCCTCCCTCCCATCCCTTACCATGGCGCTGATTTTCTCTATCCGCGGACGCGTGTCGTAGCGGACCTGTGGCTCCGCGCGCGCGTGCGTAGTGGGTGGTGGTGCGCGTGCGTGCGTGCGTGCGTGCGTGCGTGGTGCGTGGTGGTGGTGGTGGTGGTTGTGGTGGTGGTGTGGTGGTGTGGTGGTGGTGGTGGTGGTGGTGGTGGTGGTGGTGGTGGTGGTGGTGGTGGTGGTGGTGTGGTGGTGGTGGTGGTGGTGGTGGTGGTGGTGGTGGTGGTGGTGGTGCGGCGCAGTGGTGGCGGGCGGATGGGCGCGCGAGAAAGAGGCCCGCGCTGGGGCGAGAACGCCATCCTGAACGACGGAGGCCAAACACCGATCCGAAAATGATGCCCACGCTGCAGCGGGAGCACGATTCGGAACGATTCGGGAGCAGAAATAAGGCCGACGCCTCAGCGAGAGCAGCATTTTGGAACAAAACGCAGGCGAAAACCCGTTTCCCGGGAATTCTGTGTGTAAAAAAACAGTACGCGGGGGGGGGGTCGGCGATCACCCAACCGCCATCAGGGGAAGAGGGAAAGTATTTTCATATTGAGTAATTGTAGAAGGGAAGACGAAGGAGAGGGAGAAGGAAAAGGACGGGGAGGGGGGGCCGCTCGGGGTGGGGGGGTGGTCACGAGCCCCGGCTCCCTGGAGGGACGGAGGGGGGGGAGGGGGGGAGGGGGAGGGAGTCCCTCCCTCTGTCCTCTATCCATCCTCCCTCCCTCCTCCCTCCCTCCTCCCTCCCTCCTCCCTCCCTCCTGCCTCCCTCCTCCCTCCCTCCTCCCTCCCTCCCTCCTCCCTCCCTCCCTCATTCCTCCCAGAGAGATGTGAGGGGCGGGGGATGGAGGGTGAGGAAGAGGGGAGGTATGAGAGGGGGGGGAGAGCTGGAGGGGGAGGCAGGCGAAGGGACGAGGAGGAGGAGGAGGAGGAGGAGGAGGAGGAGGAGGAGGAGGAAATTCTTCACGCTTCGCGCATGCCCACCGGCTCCGTAGCCCTAAGCCATCTCTCGGGGGGGGGGGCCCCCCCTCCCGGGATCCCGGCTCGAGGTTGGCCGGCGCGGCCTGGGCGGCGCGGCCGGGCCGCGCGCCTCCGCCGCCGCCGCCGCCTCGGCATGGGCGCCCCGGAGACCCCTGCTGCCCGGAGGCGGCGGCACGTTCGCAACGCTGCGGCCCTCCGGCTGGCGGCCGCGGTCGGCGCCGCCGCGCCGCCGGGGCTCCCCGGCGCCCCTGGCCCGCGCCCTGCGGGCGCCGTCAGCGCCGCCGCCGTCTCTCGGGCGGCTGATGCCGCCAGCGCGGGCCCCCAGCCTGCTGGCGCTGCCGGCGCGATGGACGCCGCCTCCCCGCGGCGCGCCCACCGCGCCGGCGCAGCCGGCGCCGCCGGCCTGCGCCCTTCCGCCGCTGCTGGCGCTGCCGACGCCCCCAGGCCTCCCGCGGGCTGGTCGGCGCGGCCAGCGCGGCGCGGCGCTGGCCGCCTGCCCACCCCTGCCCGGGCTCCGGGCGCTGCCGACGCCCTCGGGCTGGTCGGCGCCGCCCGCCCAGGCCGCCCCGCGCCCTGCCCGCCAGGCGCCTCCGACGCTGCCGCCGCGGCCGCTGGCGTCGGCGCTCGTGGCGCGGCTTGCACGCCGGGCGCTGCCTCCGCGGCCGCCGCCTGTGCTTGCGCTGCCGCCGCCGCCGCGGCGGCGCGGGCCGCTCTCTGGGAGGTCGTAGGCGAGCTGGCACTGATTGCGGGGCTGGCTGCTGGGGATGCCGCTCGGCTGTGGTGTCAGACGCAGCATCCTCACAATTCTGACAGTCAGAGAGAGGTACCCTTGCAGCCCTGTGTCCTTTAGCGAACAAGGTGCCCTGGCATCCCCGTGTCCGGGTCCTGACGCGCTCGCGGGCTCCCCTGGCGGCCTGCAGACCTCTCAAAGACAAACAAGGCCCGTTAGGCCAGAAAGGAACAATGCGGCGGTGTCATCGGACTCCCAAGGAGAAGCAGGACCCGCTAGGCCAGAAGGGAACGGGGTTGACAGTCAGGAAGAGGTACCCTTGCACCCCTGCATCCCTGCGTCCTTTGGCGAACAAGGCACCCTTGCTTCCCCGTGTCCGGGTCCTGGCGCCATCGCGGGCACCCCTCCGCTGACTAAAAAGCATCCTCACCATCCCGCTGGCGACCCTGACCTTTCGTGCCCCCCGATGTCCGAGTCCTGATGCCCTACCGGACAACCCTGGCGGCCAGCAGACCTTTCCAAGCGAAGCAGGACCCGTTAGGCCAGCAGGGATAACAGCGGTTGCGTCATCGGATTCACAAAATGAAACAGGGCCCGTTAGGCCAGAAGGGAACGCGGTTTCGGTCTCATCGGTCTTCCAAGTTGAAATAGGCCCCGTTCGGGCAGAAGGAAGTCATGATGTCTCGACCCCCCGCATTCTCCCTGGCAGCCAATCAGAGCGTGGATCACAACAGCGCCCGACGGCAGTGACCCGCGACCGCGCTGGGAAGGCGCAGTCTCTCCCGATGGAGCCTCCGCTGCCATCGGAAGCTCGCACCCTGGATCGGACAGCGGTGCGACGGCAGGGCAACCATCCCCGACGGATGTTGAAGACCTGCCCCCGACGCGGTCGTCGCTAACAGCCACGACCCAACAGGGCCAAACCTCAGCTACGCCGACCCAGCGGGGCCCCGCGGGCAGTCCAACCCTGGCGACCAGCTGACCTCTCCTAGTGAAGCAGGGCCCCTTAGGCCAGCAGGGGTAACTGCGGTTGCGTCATCGGATTCACAAGATGAAGTAGGGCCCGTTAGGCCAGAAAGGGAACGTGGTTTCGGTCTCATCGGTCTTCCAAACTGAAATTACCCCAGTGCGACTCGACCTTGAAGTTGGACCCCCAAGGACAACAACATTCGTTGCTATGCTATGATATGCCATGCGATGCTGCGATATGCAGCGCTGCGCTATGGTATGATCTGCGATGCTGCGCTATGATATGCTATGATATACTAAGCTATTCAATGTCATGCAGTGCTGTGCGATGCTAATCTATGTTATGCTATGCTAAGCTGCGTTATGCTATGATATGCTGCGCTATGATATGCTATAATGGGCTATGCTATGATATGCGGTGGTGCGCTATGCTATGCTATCCTATGCTATGCTGTGCTCTGCTATGCTAAAGCTCATCGAAGTTAGGATGAATGTAGGCTACGCTGCGATAAACTTGTGTCAAGATGAAGCCAAGCTAAGCTAATATGACATAGGTTAAGCTAAGATGAGATAGGCGACGCTAAGGTAAGGGGGCGTAACTGGGGGAACCGCGGGGCGGATACTGGGGGAACCGCCCAGGGCGCTTTCCACTGCCCGGCCCCTTTAAGCCCAGAGAGCAAGAACCCTTCTAGGCAGAGCCTAGGTAGGGAACAGGACCCGTTTGGGCAGGAGGAAGTGGCGATGTCTCGAGCCCCCTCCTTGTCCCTGGCAGCCAGTCGCAGACTTGTGCTCCCCTCTCTCCCACAGGCGACCGAGGCATCCCTGCCCTCCGACGTCCGAGTCCTTACGCCCTACCGGGCACCCCTGGCGGCCAGCAGACCTCGCAAGAACACACAGGGCCCGTTAGGCCAGACGGGAGCGGATCCCAAGGAGAAACAGGGCCCGTTAGGCCGGAACGGGGCGGGGTTGACAGTCAGGAAGAGGTACTTTTGCACCCTTGCATCCCTGTGTCCTTTGGCGAACAAGGCACCCTTGCATCCCCGGACGTTCCTCGCGGTTCTGACAGTCTGGAAGACGCTCCCTTGCACCCTTGCATCCCTGTGTCCTTCGGCGAACAAGGCACCCCTGCTTCCCCCCTGTCTGGGCCCTGACTCCGTCGCAGGCACCCCTGGCGGACAGCAGACCTCTCAAAGAGAAGCTGGGCGGTTGCGTCGTCGGACCCACAAGGAGAAGCAGGGGCAGGGCCCGTTCGGCCAGTTGGGAAAAAAATGCTGTGACTTTGGATTCACCAGGAGAAGCAGGGCCCGCTAGGCCAGAACGGAACGGGGTTGACACTCAGGAAGAGGTACCCTTGCACCCTTGCATCCCTGTGTCCTTTGGAGAACAAGGCACCCTTGCTTCCCCGTGTCCAGATCCTGACGCCCTCATGGGCACCCCTCCGCTGACTAAAAAGCTTCTTCACCATCCCGCTGGCAACCCTGACCTTCGCGCCCTCCGATGTCCGAGCCCCGATGCCCTCCTGGGCAACCTTGGCGGCCAGCGGACCTTTCCAAGCGAAGCAGGACCCGTTAGGCCAGCAGGGATAACCGCGGTTGCGTCATCGGATTCACAAGATGAAACAGGGCCCGTTAGGCCAGAAGGGAACGCGGTTTCGGTCTTATCTGTCTTCCAAGTTGAAATAGGCCCCGTTCGGGCAGAAGGAAACCATGATGTCTCGAGCCCCCGCCTTCTCCCTGGCAGCCAATCAGAGCGTGGATCACAACAGCGCCCGACGGCTGTGACCCGCGACCGCCCTGGGAGGGCGCCACCGCGGGAAGGCGCAATCTCTCCCGATGGAGCGAGCCTCCGCTGCCATCGGAAGCTCACACCCTGGATCGGGCAGCGGTGCGACGGCAGGGCAGCCATCCCCGACGGATGTTGAAGACCTGCCCCCCGGCTTCTCTCGACGCGGTCGTCGCCAGCAGCCACGACCCAACAGGGCCAAACTTCAGCTACGCGACCAAGCGAGAACCCGCGGGCAGGCCAACCCTGGCGACCAGCTGACCTCTCCAAATGAAGCAGGGCCCGTTAGGCCAGCAGGGATAACCGCGGCTGCGCCATTGGATTAACAAGATGAAGTAGGGCCCGTAAGGCCAGAAGGGAACGTGGTTTCTGTCTTATCGGTCTTCCAAACTGAAACAAGCCCCA